TTTATTTCTTTATTTAAAGATAGGACAGAGTCAGAAATCAGCGAAAGAGAGAGAGACAGATAGCATAGTCTGTCAATATTAATAGACAAAGCCGGAGTGAGGTCAATCGTCTGTCCCTGCAGGGGGCGCTGGAGTCTCATCGATGGCGATCTCCATGCTGGAAATGCTGCCTCAGTCTAACTTTCAGTCAACCTAACGACAGGCTGAGAGCTGGAGCTGAGGCGGGTTTTAAACCTCCTGACAAACCGTTACACCGCGCCCACCTGTCAATCAGGTCAGCTACACGCCTTGTTGTGAAAAACTCTTATCCTTCATCAAATCAAAACTGATGAGTCATCAAAACATTCACCCCCCGTACAGTGTGTGTCCATCCAGACATGAGCTAATCACACCTATTTGGTTTTTTGAACCAGGCTGTAAACATGTTCATCTCTGCTGTAAAAACAGGCTTTTTAGAATGGGTGTATGTGACTTCCTGTGCTTCTGCAGCCAGCCTCTAGTGGACACTCCAGGAACTGCAGAATTGTATCATTCATTTTTCGTTTCAGTCTAACTTTCAGTCAACCTAACGACAGGCTGAGAGCTGGAGCTGAGGCGGGTTTTAAACCTCCTGACAAACCCCCGACCTTCCAGTTGAGAGACAGCTGACCACCGCTGAGCCACATCAACTGATCGTCAGGCGAACAGTTTGTTAAAATGGGCTGAAACAGGAAAACCAATCATCATGATGAAGTCAGCGCTGAATCAAGAAACTATCAAACAAATAATCAGCTTCCTGTTTGAGAGCAAACACCAAGAAGCTTTAACAGATATCAATCTTTAAATCTCAGAGCTTTTACCCTGCATCGTGCTTTTTTACACCCAGCAAAGGTCAGTCCGCTTCACTTTGTACTTAAAGGGAATCATTTGACTCCACCAGGAGGGCTTTGTGTGTAATCAGCATGGAGTCCAAATGTAAGGATGAAAAGGAAACGTGTCCGAGTTGCAATGCCTCTTAGACACAGCGGGGATGGCTGGATTTTCAGTGCTCATGCCTTCACAGGGAACAATTTATGGCCATTATGGCGGTCTATTTTTAGCTATAGTGATGGATTTTACTCAATTATTGTCCATTATGGAGAAAGATGGCCGCGCCACGGTCCTAGAAGTATATTGCTTCCCACTGCAGAGACATTACATTTCAATCATAGCTGCATGTTCAGTGTAACCAAAAGTAACCTAAACTGAAATCCTGTCCTTCTGCTACAGATAAATGATGAATGATTGACAATATTGGAACAACTCTTTTGGACATATCTTTGTTGGTGGTAATATAACAGCTAAGGGCTCGAAAATCGTTCTCAAAAAATTCAAATGTTTTTCAACGTTAAAGGAAGAATGTGCATCATTTTACACATAAATACATCATAAACCCAGTGTATCCTGTGTAAATGTGTCTCTGAGTCCTGACTGTCTACAATGAGGGAGAAGCTCGAGTCCCGCTGGCTGTGTTGTTGTCAGAGCCGTGTTTACATGGTCGGGACGGCCGGCTCCTCCCCTTGTGTATAAAAGCTGTTTTAGTCAAGAACTAGAGAGAAGAAGAAGAACATACTCACTGATTATTTGGATGTTAGTAAGAGTTTTTAGATCACGCTCATTCTGTGTCAGTTTACATGAAATGTGAAGCTACGAGCTAACTAAAGAGCGCTAACGTTAGCATGCTAACACAACAATGTGAAGCTACGAGCTAACTAAAGAGCGCTAACATTAGCATGCTAACACAACAAAGCAGGCTGAAATTGCAGCTCGAGCTAACTCTAAGTTCTCGTCTCGTTCAGAGCAGCAGGAAACCATATCCAGGGATAACCCCAACAACTGTGTGTGTTATGTTTGAAAAAACTTTGACGAGGTTTAGTACGGACATCGAACATCGTAACACTCATGTGTTTAAATATGGATCAGCAGAATCGATCTCCTCTCCTCTGCAACTTTAAAAAACTACCAATGCTGTATTTGTCTTTCAGCCAGCCCACACATTGTCTGCACAACATTGGCAATAATGTAAGAACTTTACACCGGCCGATGATCCTGACATTGCATTAAACATAATAGGTAAACCATCCATAACCATTTCCCTGCTTTCAATATGTTTATGTCTGAATAATGGAGAAGAATTGGGAAATAGGGGGTTGCAATTATTCCTGGCACAGTGATGCTGCAGTGGCTGTCGTCTCGCCAGGGCCCAGGCTGGCAGTCAGCACAAACTGAAGGTAATTGAGAGGTTGAGAGAGAGAGAAGTCCCGGCGACTTGCACAGGGGGGGCCCGTGCGGGGGCCTCTGAATGCCACCGTAGCCCCCAGCGGGCATTAATCAAAATGCCCGATCAATAACTTCTCAAGTGCTAATAAGCACTGGCACATTTTGTGATATGTGAGCCCCTTCATCATTTCAACTACTCTGAGATTTATAGGAAATCCATTGTTAGGTCCAAAGTATGAGGTAATGTAGCACTTAGTAAATGAAGTAAAACCAAAAGCCTGAGGTGATTTGTATTTCATTTACAAAGGACATGTCTAATCATTAGGAGCTCCATCTCTTTGAAAAGCAACCAAACTGGCTGTAATGATGTCTCTGTTCCTTTATGCTTTACTTACTCAGCAGTGATGCACAAGATGGTGATGCCTTCACTGTCCCTCCGCCCCTGATTGGTCCGCTTCCAGATAGCCACAGAGGGGGAGGGGGAGGGGGGGGACTCCTTCCCACTGTGGAATGATTAAAGTCGTGTTAGGGAAGCATTACGGGTCAAAGTCATTAAATAATCTGATTTCTGTCCCCCCCTCCACTGTCTCCTCTCAAAGTGATTGGTCTCCAGGTCATCTCAGCAGCTGACACATAATTGTTAATTAACCATTATGGGCTGCCCTCTCTCATCTATATCTCACGGCGGTTACTCATTTGACAACAATACGATATATATCACAGCAGATGATGTATGAACACGGTAGCTGTTTTACGAGAATGAAATGACTCGGGGTCATTAAAGTGTCAAACGTTTAACCGTGTCGGATGCTTTGTTTACTGAATAAATGATTTTCATTCACTTTTAGTTATTACACGATATTTCTACAGGTGCCTATAAGATGAATCACTGCAGGTTAGATTTTCATTTTCACTTCCAACCAACACAGCTTTTCCCCCTCCTTTTTCTTCTAACCTTCTTAAGTCATCGGCTCTGTGCACGTCGTCAAGGTGAGTTGTCTTTTTAAAAAATACCACAGATCAGGTAAGGAGGCGCAGGGGGGAAGAAAGTTAAATAAAAAGCTCTTTAAAAGGGTATTCATGAAGAAAAAAGACAAACAATGTACCTGTTGAAAATAAAAGCGCACACTCAAATCCGTTCTGATGACAGTTGAGAATGCAGCCTCTCTCTCTCTGCGGAGGACTTGAGCCCCATCTTTGCCGTTTTCTTTTAAAACGTGATTATTTACTTAAAACAACAAACCCAAAGCCTCAAGTCTGGCGTTGTGGTCGACAGGGCCTTTGATTGAGCTCTGAGCTTGAATTCTTAGCTAATAAATTGTTCCCCCGCCTTTGTCTAGGGCATTAACGGCAGTGGTCTGCGTTTTTCTTGCCCTAATCTCAAGAATGCAGCAGCCTCTTGAGAAGCTCAGGGGTTTCCTCCTCTCCCAGAGCCGGGGTCTTCACTTTGTTTTTCTTAGATTGACAGGCCTCAGCATTCACCTGCTTCCACCGGCCCATCTGTTTTCACCGATTCTGACTTAACACATCAAAGTCGATCAAGGCTGCAAAGCATTTTAAAAGTCACACACTCCTGTGCTCGTGTGCGAGGGAAATAAAAGCAAACTTTTCATCAGGCACACAAAAAAGAGCGTGTTTGGATGGTGTGTGTTTGTGTGCAGGGTTTTCCATGTGAGGGGTGACCTGGGAGGGATCCCTGAGCTCACAGCACAGGTATGAGCAGCTTAGCTTTGTTCAGCGCCTGCTCTGACGACAGCTCGGTGAGTCACCTCGACACACACATTTAACCTCCTTTGGTCAGGTTCCAGCAATTCACTGACAACTCCCTGACAATAAAATAATCATTAGAGAGATTGAAACAACACTGCACGCCGATCTGGAGGAGTCAAAGTGTCTTTGCACGGCGACAGAAGGGGGACGGACCATCAGTGGACTGTTAAAGATCACTAATGGAAGTACAGTTTAGAATAAACATCAGGCATCTTATCAGAGAATAGCGATGTATTTTCTGTAAGCAGTATACATCAAGTTCAAGTTATTTTTATTAGTCAAATGCACAACATGACAGGCAAAGCAGTCATAGCTGGCAATGAATTTTTTGTGTTCCAAGCTCTCCTTAACAATGCAAAACTAAAACTAAAAAAATAAATTAATAATAATAAATAATAATAATAATAAATAAATAAAATGAAATAAAATAAATAAATGACTAAATTAAATCCAAAAAAAAATAAAATAAAATAAAATAAAAAAAAATAAAATAAAATAAAATAAAATAAAATAAAATAAATAAAATAAAATAAAGTAAAATAAAATAAAATAAAATAAAATAAAATAAAATAAAATAAAGTAAAATAAAATAAAATAAAATAAATTGAGCATGAAGCTTCATGTGTTAATTATTGTAAAGATCTGTTTTTGCCTTTATTAGACAGGAGAGCTGAAGAGAGACAGGAAGTCCCAGGAGGAGAGAGTGGGGTAAAATGGTAAATGGACTACAGCTTGTTTTTATTGAAAATAAAGTCACCTGAATCTGAACTGTGGGCCACATTCTGAACTTTGTAAAGGTAACCTTTGTGTTGTGTTGGGTTACTTTTAAATGAAGCTGTGACACCGGTTCCTCATTTTGGACACAATAACCAATCAGCTAATCTAAAGGTTTCCCCTCAGCCAATCAGAGGCAGCGTGGGAGAGGAGGAGGCTGTTCCTTGACTGGTTGCCTGGTAACCGGACAAACAGTGTGTTACTAACTAACCGTGAGCATGCGGAAGGTTTGAATATTTAAATATTTACTCGTTATGTTTGTGACTTTAGGTGAAACATGTTATATATTTAATATTCTTCGTATAAAAACCTTCACTTATTAGACTTTTCTTTGTGTTTTAACTGTAAGATAATATCGTTAGAAGACGGAGTGTTTGTTTGTTTATGTGTCCGGTAGCGTAGCATATTTAGCATCTAGTTAACACCTGCGTGACTTCCGGTTTCGGCCTGGACGGTGTGTTTCTTCACATTCATTTTGTTTCTTCTTTTCGGTGTATTTATTGCCATAGATTTAAATAGTTGAAAACAAATTATTTGCCGGGGTTTCCAGAAGGTTCCTGTTCTGGTTGCCTGGTAACCAGACAACTAGATATTTAATCAGATCGCGTCACTTCCGTTTCAACTGAGAACCAACTCATTCTGTAATTTATTAGAAATGATCTATTTCTAATAATATAATAATAAAAGTAATAGTATTGATAAATAATAGTTTCTAATAAATATGATGTATGATTAATATGTTATATAATTAATAATAGTTTCTATTAAACTAACTTTTAGACTTTTTTAAACTATGCAAACCAGAATAAAGTGATTTCTTAGACTGACTCCATTGTGACATTTTGTTGAGTTAGCATTCAACATTTGATGCCACCTTGTTTCTTGTTTTTTTTGCCACTACTCGGTCTGGACAGTTCGTGTCTTTGTGTGTCTTCTTATAATTCGGTGTATTTTTTGCCTTAGTGGTAAAAAGATGAACATAAAGTCTTCGTTTCCAACTTTTACCAGGGTTGAAATCAGGTTTGGCTGCTCACTAATGTATTTAAATACATGATTAACATCACAACACTTATTTTTCCAGGGCTTCACACTTAAAGGTAGCAACAACCTGGTTGTTAACTCGGCTGCCTTTCAAGACCACATCACACGCACCGTGCTGCGTCCACATTTCCCGCTCACTGACCCTTTGCTGAGAAGCAAAAGAAGAGAAGCAGCCAGAAATCCACAAGCAAGAGGAACAGCTGACCGCCGTCTACAGAGACCAGATCCTCAAGAAGAAGAAGAGAGAGAATATGTGCTGGATGCCGCTCTACCTCCTTTAACATTAGGTAAGTCAAACACTTTGAATGTGTGTTGGACTCAGTACCACGCTGTCTCTGGTTTGGGTCCACATCGTCTGAAGGATGGAGCATTGCTACAGTTTTCTTTATGAGGCCGTACTTCATACGCTGCCTTCTCATTTATGTTGTCTGCTGATTCCTGAATCTGTCAGCAGCTGCTGACTTCGATCTCAAGGACTCATCATGTTAGTCACTCCATCAACTCGCTCTGTCTTTGGTCAAAGAGCTTTCAGTGTGTTCGCTCCGTCGTCATGGTGACCTGCAGAGTCACCTTAAACTAGAGCCTTTAGTCAGCTTGGAAGATTTGAAAAGCAGGACAAAGGAACATTTAAAGACTGTATGTTTCGCTGCTTAAAAGCTTGACATGTCTGTGTATCGTCTGTCTTTGTTATCTTTGAGGCTGCTGTCTTCGGTAGGACCTTCTTGTATCTCAACGAGAATATTTCCTGGTAAAATAGAGGTTAAAAAAAAAGTATCTTGTGCATTTATTTTTCTTCTTTTAGCACAGAAGTTGGGTTTGGTGGCCCGCCCTGCAGGAAGACTGACGGAGGATGAATGGAGGCAGGTGAAGGCGAGGTCTGTTCAACAAGGGGAGTCAGCGCAGCCCTGTGCAATATGCAAGGAGGACTTTCATCTACAGCCTCAGGTATTTCCCCAACACAGCAGCTACTTTTAAAGAGAAGAAGAAGAAGAAGATATCCTTTATTAAAACTCTGTTATTGAGACATGCTGCACAAACGCAGGCTGAAATACACAAACAGGATTCTATGGAAAAGCACTAATGAAGAGATGTCAGAGTGGGGGGGGGGGGGGGGTGCACATGAAAGAGCAACAGAACAGTTGAAGTTGCTCACCTCTGCAGTGGTGCCAAGGATCAGAGTACTCACACTAGTCAAACAAACTGGACTTTAGGGGTGAAGCTTGCCTAATGTGAGTGCGCCCTTAGTCTGCACTGGGATTTGAACCGGCATCCCTCTGGTACCCGACCCCAAATATATAAAATAAATACACTATCTGAGAACTTTTTCTGTTTTTTCATGTTTCCAATGATTTGTCCGTCCCTAGGGAAACCTGTGTATCCACACGAGCACACACACAAAGCACGCCCACATCCCCTCTCTCTCCCCCCCCCCCCTCCCCCTGCAGTTCCTGTATGTTCTAATCTGTGTAGACAACTGTACAAATTTACCCATACTGCCTTGGAACTCAACTGTGACGTGATGATGTAGCAATCAGTGTGTTACTGTGAGGGTCATTCAGTCTTTTACACCTTTCCAATCCCCCCTTTTGAGATGCCAATCTCCTCAAGAATGTGGGACTAGAATAGTCGGCCCTCACAAAGCACAGTTGCCATAGATGCACGTGTAAATATAAGTTTGACTCAGGGAGGGGGGGAAGTTAATTAGAGCCTGCTAACAAGGGAAAGTGACAGGAGAGAATCTTTGTTGATTTGCCATTTCCCTGCGAGCCTTCATATTGTAACGATGCGTTTGTGTGCTGCTGTCTTGTTGCATTCAAGCAATAATATGACTATTCATAAAAAACAAGCTTACAGCAGCAGATTCACTGAGTCAGAAGAATTACTTCTCATTATTTTATTACCAACTACGAATCAGGCAGAGTTTGAAAAAATAACACATGTTCTGTTTTTGTGTTTTTAACTTCTCTATTATGTGTTTTCGGCATTAAATGTAGTCGGTTGCCTTTTGACATTTCTCGATGCTCTGATTGAGCTCCTGGAAACTGTACCCTGCAGGGGGTCCTTTCACTGTTCACCGAGTGTGTTGGTCAGCCTGAAAAACAATGGGAAATCAATATGACCCCCCCCCCCTCGCCGCCCGCCCGCCTCCCCTGGAGATCAGAGTAAACTGCTTTGTGTGCCTCCTTTCAGACGATAAAAGAGTCCCCCCTCACAGGTAGAGGACACTTTGGTCCTGGTCCCAGCCGGCCCACTGGGGGTCATGCTGACTCCCTCTATCCTCTGAGCAAATAACACTTAAGAGTAGATACACACATTCCTGAAAAAGGTGCATGAATACACACAGATTTAGCATGTCTGAAGGATCACATACACACACCACATGTGCACAGACTGTATACAACAAACAGACGACCAATACACATTCTGCATTGTCCTCTGCAGCGATGGTGACCCATGCAGTCGACCCGTAGAGCTGTGGATAGGTTTCCGTGCTTGCTCTTGTTTCATCTTATACAACCTTTGTTTCACATATATATCTGTGTGTCTATGTAGGTGTTGCTGTCCTGTTCTCATATTTTCCACCGAGCTTGTCTGCACGCCTTCGAGAGGTTTTCCTGTAAGAAGTGCTGCCCCATGTGTAGGAAGGAGCCGTATGAGACCCGGGTGATCCGCGATGCAGCGCGCCTCTTCAGACACCGCTGTGCCACCAGGTGCGTGCACTGAAAAACAGAAATGCATGACATAGATCGTGTTTCAATAAACACAGATTGCAGACATTCCCATCCTCAGAAACCCAGAACAAAACTTCATCACACAGTAAATAACGTACCATCCGGACTGTGAAGGGGCACGCGTCCCGTAACTCTATAAGTGTCACTATTTAGAGCAGAGATTCTCAAACTTTTTTGGCTTGTGTACCCCCTTTCAGTGTTTACCCCCAAGAACATTTTTCATCTTCCACCTCATTTTCGGCAACTGATTCGTTACCTCGTTTCAACAACCTGTTCATTTTTATCTTCATGGCTGCGCTCTTTTTAGCATGCAAACTTACCTGCTTGCTCGCTGAACAATTCAGGTCAACAGACGGAGGCCCTCTGGTTGAAGCGGCTCTGCACATAAAGCTAGATTATAAATGAATATTCTCAAGTTGAGAACAAATGCTGTTAATTAAGTCTTAAATCAGTGTATGGATTTTCCTTTAAATAATTAATTGGCTTGTTGTGATGCAACTTTTCTTACATTACATTTGTCACGTACCCCTTGCAGTACTCCCACATACCTCTAGGGGTACACGTACCCCCATTTGAGAAACACTGATTTAGAGACAGTAAATAGACCACTGTCGTTGTAAAGAACAAACAACCAGTTAATAATGTATTAATCACGACAGCGGGCACTCAGACATCCAACATCTTACTCGTGTGTCTGTTTGTCCACCTTGTGTCCCCGTGCATGAACTGTACCAGGTCAAAGTGCACCGAGCTTGAGCACAGATCGGAGCGCTCACACTAGTCAAACGATCTGGCCTTTAGGGGTGAAGCGTGCTTGGGCGCGGTATGGATTGCCTAGTGAGAACGCCCTGAATGTTTTTGGGTGTTGTCTCGGCCTTGCAGCGCTCTGGTCTCAGAGGTCTCTGTCTGCATGTGGCTGCTGTCTAAGCTGACTGGCTCTATTGTGTGTGTGCGTAGAATTCAAGCGTGCTGGCGAGGCTATGTGGCTCGAAAAAGGTACCGAAAGTTGAGCAAGTCTGTCTGTCCAAAAGATGAACGACTGAGACGCAAATTCTTTGAAGCAAAGGTGAGTGTGGATTTTTAACTTATTGATTAATTGTGATTGTTTAGATCGTAGTGAACACACAGAGGAGCTTATCGCTCAGTGACAAACGTCTCATCTTGAGCCCTGGGTTACAGGGACTCTCTGACCCCACTGCCAGCCGACACACACACACACACACACACACACACACACACACACGCAGACAACAACCACAAAAACACACACCTTCACCTGCTCTCACCCTCTCCTGCTTCTTTTGATGCTTTGTGAATCACAGACTGTTTGTCCAATAATGTGGAGAGTGTTTTGTGTTTGAGTCAAACAGTCTGGATCTTCCAGGGTCAACGTGAAAGCTTTATTTGGGACTGCTTTTACCTTCATCTGTCTCGATGTTTGATGTATGTGTGTGTGTGTGTGTGTGTGTGTGTGTGTGTGTGTGTTCTGTGTTCCTGGGTCGGACGGGTGAGGGTGAAGAGGTGGACCGGGTTGTCATTTTAGTCTTTGTTCTCAATTGCTATTTCAAAGCTATAAATCATGCAACGACTGGACTTGACGGAGGGATTATTTCCAAGTGGCCTCGAGTCGTTCCACTCTGAGGCTGTGATGCCTTCATGGTCGCTCTCAGGAAAAGGGAACATTGCCACCTAGTGAACCTCCCCCAACCAAAGTCCCAGATGACCAAAGACTAAGACCGGTCACCCTTTCCCTTTTCCCTTCACCACACATCCACCTTTTTTTATGCAGCTCTTGACACAATAGATGGACCCTGCTTTGAAATGCTCACAGCTCCGATACATAATGCTGTGTGTTAAGTTTCTTTAAGAACAGGACCTCTTCAGTCCCTGTGAGGATTGTTGTAATCATGCAGAGTGCCCCCCCTGCGCTTCACAGGCTGATTAAGCAGAAGTGACAAATGTGTGAGGGCCACACTTTTAATGTCTTTAAGGGTCCGGGCTTCCTACCCATCCCCCCCCCCCCGTCCACTGTCCATCATCTGCCCTGAAAATGCAAACGTTTACATGTCTCATAAACAAAGACGCAGAATTTACAGAGCCAATTAACTGGTGTTCCGACACATTAAGGTCCGCATGTCCCCCGGTCCACACGCTGCGGGACGGAGTCATCGACGCTGTCAGTCACTTTACATTCACACCGTGTGATTCAGTGGTTTGTGGGTGGTCATCAGGTTGTCTCATGTCTTTTGTCACGCCGGGATGATCTTCAAGAGCTTTGAGCCGAGCAACACAGCGCTGACAAGTCTGACTGACTTGATTTTCAAGGGGAAGACTTATTTGCTTAGCTGACTGTAATGCAAACAGGCGTGTTAGTGCCGGGCTGGAACCTGTGTGAGACGAGGAAATCTATTCTTAGTTTTTTTTCCTTGTTGGAGCAGGAGGGCCATAAAGCATCTTTGTACCGCAGAGACACAGGTGTTCACTTCCACGTATCGGCCCCATTTTAGAAAATCCTATCAGCTTCTCCTGCTGCCCCAGCTTTCAATTTTTTACTCACTCTGGAGGTCCGACCCTGAGTCAACACATTAAGAGTGACACCACCGACACATAGATGGATTGCTATGAGATAACGCCTCCTCCTCCTCCCCTCTTCACCCTCCGTGTCTTCTCCCCTTCGACGTCTCCTGTGGAGCAAAGGCAAAGTTCAGAGGAGGCTGATCTGTTTGCCTTGACTGTCAGAAAGTCAGCCAGGCTCATAAAAGCCTCCATCCCGATGGTCAACAGTTGTTTAATTAGTGATAAAAGCCCCGCTGTAAAGCAATTCTGATGCTCCTGTCACAGGCCGAGGGAGGGGGGGCTTTGTGTTTGTGTGGGTGTGGGAGTAGGTGAGTCATAGATGGAGAAAAGGTGTACATGTGTGCAAGCAGGTGTTACATCATGTAAAGAAATCACTTTTCACAGATGTCGTTAAATTACCTGCACCTCGATTTCTAATGAATAATCAATGCAAAGATGACTTAACGTTCCCATGTTTCAGGTTTTTAATTGTCAGGATATCGCTGCTTTTCTCTGTTTACTATAGACTGCTGTGGCTCAGTGGTAGAGAGTCGGTCGGGGGTTCGATCCCCAGCTTCCAACGTGTCCTTGGGAAAGACACTTAACCCCCGAGTTGCTCCTGCTGCTTTGTCTGTGGTGTTTGAATCTTTATGAGTAGGATTAGTCTGATCTTGGGCTGCACGGTTGTCTGCGTTTTAGCCTCACAGCGAGGAGGTTCCTGGTTAGAATCCCCGTCTGACAGGAGCCTCTCTGTGTGGAGTCTGCATGTTCTCCCAGTGCATGTGTGGGTTCTCTCCGGCTTCCTCCCACGGTCCAAACACATGCTCGTTAGGTTAACTGCTGACTCTCTGAACGTGAGTGTGGCTGTTTTTTTTTTTAAGATTTATTTTGGGCTTTTAATGCAGAGAGGACAGTGGATAGAGTCAGAAACCAGAGAGAGAGAGGACAGTGATAGAGTCAGAAACCAGGAGAGAGAGAGGACAGTGGATAGAGTCAGAAACCAGGGAGAGAGAGAGGACAGTGATAGAGTCAGAAACCAGAGAGAGAGAGAGGACAGTGATAGAGTCTGAAACCAGGGAGAGAGAGGACAGTGGATAGAGTCTGAAACCAGAGAGAGAGAGGACAGTGGATAGAGTCAGAAACCAGGGAGAGAGAGGACAGTGGATAGAGTCTGAAACCAGAGAGAGAGAGGACAGTGGATAGAGTCAGAAACCAGAGAGAGAGAGAGGACAGTGATAGAGTCAGAAACCAGAGAGAGAGAGGGAGGACAGTGATAGAGTCTGAAACCAGGGAGAGAGAGGGAGGACAGTGATAGAGTCTGAAACCAGGGAGAGAGAGGACAGTGGATAGAGTCTGAAACCAGAGAGAGAGCGGGGAATGACATGTGGAAAGAGGCCACGGGTGGAAGCGAACCCGGGCCTCCCGCTCGAGACGAGAGCCTCAATACATGGGACGCACACCCTAACCATTGCACCACCAGCGTGCCCCAATGTGTGGCTGGTTTTCTGTCTCTATGTCAGCCCTGTGATTGGCTGGTGAACAGTCCAGAGTGTAACCCCGCCTCTCGCCCAATGACAGCTGGGATCGACACCAGCACCCGCCGCCCCGAATGTGAAATGTGTTATAGATAATAGTTGGATCAGGGTTTGAGATAAACCTTTTTCGCTTACCTGCCACTGTGACTGCTGGATTCAAAAATATAATTTTTTAGCCGGCAGCTGTGATGTAATGATGACGGATAATATCAAATAAAGGCTCACAGTATTTAAGAAACAGGTTATCTTATGGAGGGAGATGTTTTCAACTGTTGAAGAAAATACTGACATGTTCTTTGTCTCGCTCATTCACAGAAAAAATGAACCGCAACTGAGAGGCAAGATAATCAATTTGTTGTGTTAAAGTATAACTCGCAGTATAAACTCATCATCAGTCATCGGTGTGGGCAGGCAAGAGGTAGAGAGCGAGCAGGGAGACAGGGAGGCGTCTGATTGGTTCATCAGATTGGTACCTTGTGGCAGACATTGGTTGAATTTTTTAGACTTACAAACTGATACAGATGATGGATTCTCTTCATTCCTTTTTCAGAGAACACGAGTTATTAATTTCTGTCAGGACCTAAAGACAATTTACTCCAAAATCTTAAAAAGTGGATCTGGAGGAAAATGACCAACCCTGACTTTAAGTCTGGTGTGTGGTGAACAGGAAGCTGCTGTAACCAGTGTCAGGCCCGTTCATCTGTAACTTAACTTTTAATCATTTCCTGCATCGTAAAGTGAATGAAAACATATTGATAGTTAAATGATCTGCTCCTCTGTTGTTTCAGAGTGCTGTCAGGATGTGGCTGCTCCTCTCTGTTAAACGAGACAGTAAAGGGAAAATGTTGGAGCTATGCAGACAAGTGATGTGAAGGTGCTGACTGTAGCCTGAGGATACTGTGAAGGGTGTTTTCCACAATTATTTAATCGCCTTTAATCAATAAAAGAATCAAAATCAGCCGATGGATGGATCAGCTGCTGACACACATTAATGTAGTTTAATGATATCAGTCATTAAACTGAAGAAAGTACTCGTTTGCTCTCCAGAGGTTTCACCCGTCTGTCGCTTCAACCGTAGATGCAGTTTGCTCCGTTGTCATGGAGACGCTTCAGTTGTTCACCATTCGATTTTAATGACGACGTTGTTACACGGGGACATTTCTGTCAATTGGTCAACTGCACGGCGCTGTCGAGAAAAAAAAAACCTGCTTCTATAAATAGCTTTTTTTTTTTTCTAATGAAAATGTCTCGCAGACACAAAACGTCCACAATGCAGACATTAATCGTTGCTTAGCAACAGCTGCTGTAAATGGGAGAAGACATATTTCTGGGAGGACAGATACTCGTGACGTCTTTTGAAACCTGTCAATTTCAGAACGGGGAGGGCGACCGAGCGCTGCAACAAGTGGAGACGCCGCATTTTTGAAATGGATGATAAACGAGGCGGCAGAAGTCCAAGTTCAATCGGACGAAAACTAATAATAACATTTTTTTAACGGCTGAGATAAATGGCTTTGTTAGGTTTTAATCATTCACTTTGTGTTTGTGTTTTAAACGTCTCCGTCCTCACAGCACGTTTGGCGTTACAGACTGAACCTTTATTGTTTTAAAAGAACCACACTGTGGTCCATCTATCATCTCTCTCCTGAGACGCTCAACGTGTCACAGATGTGTGCATTTCCATGTCTCCCAGCACCATCACACTCTTTTTACTGGTTTCCATTAATCCTCTTTGGTAGTGGGAGACGTGACTGTATTGATCTGGCTGTTTAACAACTGCACCCTGTCACACACACACACACGCACACACACGCACACACGCGCACACACACACACACACAAGCCCTCGTCAAAAACACGACTCTATTGTGTATCTGAAAGACACATGGCGTCCTTTGTGCCACTAAAATGGTTTTTCCTCATTAGTTGCAGGAGTTGAATGACAGCTTTGTCCGATACTGTCACACCGACACGGAGGCTTTTCTGAGTGATATCAACCGCTCGTTGTCGTCGAGCAGGCGAGTGTTTCAGCAGCTGGAGAGGAGGAACGTCTCGGAACCCGGGGAGAACGACTGGGACCGGATACAGAGCCAGGTCAGCAGCGAGACGCACGTCAAGGCCCCCGTTTAAAAAAAATCTGTAATAATCCCAGTGTGATTCTTCTTTCTGGAAGCCTTGCCTTTTCCCTCGACATGTCGATGCTGCACGGGGAAAACGACATCACAGCTGCTGTGCAGACGGCAAACATTCTGCAGAGGTGATCAGTCACGTTCACCAGGTGAATGGAAACGAGGAACAATATTAATCCTGTGTTTACAAAAAAACACGGGACGGTCTAATAATGCACGGCAGGCTTTCCACTGAGAACACATTAAGATTTGATGTTCCATGAGGCGCCATTGTTTGCTTTCTTTGCAACAAGCATCGTTTCCATAAAGGGGGGCGGGGTGTGTGCAAAGGAGACGTCTTTTTCTTCTTTATCTTGTGGAATAAAGGTTGAATAAAGGCAGGAGTGGATCGAGTATTAAACAGTAAATTACCTTTCAACACGTACCTTGGTCCAAACTCTAGAGCGACATGCAGCTTGTTGTGAAACTCTGAACATTAAAGATGTCGGCCTCCAAACACAGGAAGCTGTATCTGTGCGTGATGATTTGTGTTCAGATGGATGTTCTCCACAGACACATGGAAATAACCCCCTAACCAACGCTCCACTTACCTCTGATTATGCAGACAGACCTCTATAAAGTAAATAAAGTGCAGTATTTTAAGGTATGTCTGTTTCAATCAACAGGTCGTCCAGAGAGAAGTCAGGGACTGCCCGATCTGCCTGACGCCACTGGGCAACCCGAGCCTCCCAGCCCAAAGGAGTACCTCCAACCCTGGCCGAAACAGACCCACCGTGCTCTTGTCCTGTTCCCACATCTTCCACCAACCCTGTCTGGAGGCTTTCGAGGCTTTTACTGTCGACAGCAGACCCTCCTGCCCCCTGTGCAGATCCGCCTACCACAAAAAACTCATCTGAGCAGGTACAGCGATGTGGCGCTTTAAAAGCCCTTACATGCAGATGTAGTATTTGTAACTTCAGTCAACCTAACGACAGGCTGAGAGCTGGAGCTGAGGCGGGTTTTAAACCTCCTGACAAACCGTTACACCGCGCCCACCTGTCAATCAGGTCAGCTACACGCCTTATTGTGAATAACTCTTATCCTTCATCAAATCAAAACTGATGAGTCATCAAAACATTCACCCCCCATACAGTGTGTGTCCATCCAGACATGAGCTAATCACACCTATTTGGTTTTTTGAACCAGGCTGTAAACATCTTCATCTCTGCTGTAAAAACAGGCTTTTTAGAATGGGTGTGTATGTGACTTCCTGTGCTTCTGCAGCCAGCCTCTAGTGGACACTCCAGGAACTGCAGGATTTTACACTTCAGCATCAGCTTCATTTTTAATACTGGAGGTTGTGGATGTAATTTTACAGAAAGATGGATGATCTTGCTCAGGCGTGAACCGAATGAAGGGATGTACCCGAGGAGTTTCTCTACTTTTATTTGCGAACACACAAAACATCAGAAATAATGAAACGTACATTTAGCAAACTGAGAAATCGTAAAAAATTAAATACATTCACAAAACATGTACCAAAAAATGACATGCAGAGACCAACAGACAGAAAAAAAAAGCTGCTTCACTTACAGCACAGGCCAACTCTCAAAGTCCCCCAACACAGAGACGGACTGAGGAGACAACCACACGGGCCGCTGGGCCTGCTGCGGGGAGTGTGGCTCTGAAGTTCTATCAGCGGTGTGGTTTTCCTGCTAAGTACGAAGGAGCTGGTAGAAAAATCCACCAAAGCTGTTGGGGGTTAATTGAGCTCATTAAGATAAAAGTCTAAAAATGATACTTTCAACAGTTTAAGATCTTATTAGCCAATTTAAAAAGTTCCTCTTTTGGTCGTCCATATCACTTTGAGGCTATCTTTAGATTTCACAGTCTTAAATGTCACTAAAATAGCTGCAGAAACAGGAAACGAACAAAAACAAATGGAATTGAACACGACAGACAAGAAAATCCAGTTAATGTGGAAAAAAAAAAGTCTCCTTTGAAATGACAAAAATAGAAGCACGGTCGTCCGGTGTTTTAGGGATGGTTACCGGTTTGATTCGCCCTTTACGAGACATTCCCTGCTCTGATTTGTTTACCGGAAAAATTCAATTAACAGCACGGGCTTTTTTTGACTTCAGTCTATGAAATGACGTTACCTTTGTTTGGGGCGTCAATAGGAGACGTGTTTTTAATTATTTCCAAACACAACCAGTGCTTTTATGTATATATTTCTAAAGGTTTATTTTTGGGTCTTTTATGCATTTATTTTAGAGACAGTGGGGAATGACATTTTTGTGGTATCTGAGAAAACGCCTTCAAAAAAAGACGTGTGATTGAGAGCAGCACGTTGTTTACAAAGTCCAGTCAACGGCAGAACGCTCTGTAGTACAACTGTCCCTGTCCTAAGAAATTCAAAATGCAAACAAAAATGTCATCAGTTTCCTTACTTCCTTTTTCGTTCCCGTCACTTTAGCCCCCATTAAAACACACGACACCAATTACACCATACAATTAACAGCATTAGCATTAGCTAACTCAGGCTAATGAACGCGTCTCATAACGGATCCTCTCACCAGATAAGAGATACTGTGACAACATTCATTGTGTATGTTTGACCAGCTGGCTTTAGATGAGAACTTGTGGTGTACGGGAGATCACAGTGGAACTGTCTACACACACAGACACACACACACACAGACACAGACACACACAGGTACAAAGACGACCCTAACATGGAGCCTGCGAGACGCTTGTCATATAAGGCATTAAGGTGGTTCTAGAGACAAAGAAGGATGCAGCAACACGACAACACGCACACGGGGCCTGAGTCACTGAGTCTTAACAAAGTTTGTCAATCATTCATTCTGCATGTGAAGACTTCCACGTTTGCATTCCACTTCCAAAAATATGTACAACAAAATTCAGATAGCTTAGTGAGTCAGACCCTCAGAGGGCTCCAGGAGGGTCCCATAATTTACACCCAAATAATGCAAAAGAGGTATGAAACACATTATTTACATGTAGATACAACATTTACAAGAAGACAACATTTGACCAGTTCTTCAGCGCCTTGGGAATTTAAAATAGATGGGGGTTTTATTGGGGGGGGGGTGGTAAGCAAAACGTGATGACATTTCCTCACCATGTGCATAATTAAAGTTTAGGAGCACAGGATCAGCTCCAGCTGCAGCCCAGCTTCTAAAAGTGGACGTGAGGTGGACCTGACTTCCTCGTGGTTTCCCCATTTGGAGAGTAGCTCTACTCTAATCTCGAGCACCTAAAAAAAGTTCTTATCGTACTCCGTACAATCGAATGACATCATCGATTAAGTTAAAGCGCACTTGAGTAAAGCCAAATCAAAAGACAGACGACAGCACGAGTGTTTAAAGTGTGAGGCCGGTCGGGAACAACGGCGTTAATGCATATCGAGTGAGTTGTATTGCAGACGTGAATAAATGACTTTCATGCTTCATGAGCATTTTTTGTTTCCACATTTTTTAAGCTTCAACAAATCATCATTCCTGTCTCAGTTCACATCACAATCAGAACTGTAGCTGGACGTTTAAAAACAAGTCTTAACGGAATAGTCTGTGCTGCGTGGAGAGGAAGAGCAGGACGTAGAAGAGAATCGTTTCACCAGCTTCTGTCAAAGAAACAGGAAGTAAAGCTGGGGGGGGTGGGAGAGCGCACCCTGAAGCAAGAGATGGGTGGTTTAATGTCACAGTCAACGTTTGAGGTCAACATCAAGGTCACTGCAGTGATGCCAGGCTTCATCCCTGGCTCTGTCCCAGCCTCCATCCCAGACGCAGAGGATGGAATGTCACGAAGCTAAATTGCTCTCGGCCCTCCATTTGCAGCATCCGGCAGACGCTGCCCGGGTTTATTAAGTTCCTTCCAATCCCTTTCACCTTTCAGCAGTCAGGCGGTACTGTCGAAATCTCCCTTTGGCTGTGCTAAGGTGTGTGGAGACGTGCATGTGTGTGTGTGCTGATCTATCGTCCCTTTCACAGAGTTTTCTGATGCCCATTGGCCGAGAGCTTCCCGGATTCAGGGTCTGTGGGGCTGTTTGACAGTTGCAATTTATCCAGACCTGGGCAGGAGGAGATAAGGGAGAGAAATCTCATTACACAGCCTCAGACTTTCACTTAGACAGAGGTATTGATGTGCTTTTTTTTTTCTTTTTCTAACGCTATCCTATGCTGTGTATCAAACACCCGGGGCCTGTCACCACAAGCCTGTGAGACTAGCCCCATCCTCTGTCACATGTCAGTCCTGCAGCACATTGCATCTCGCTAACATTTCTTCCATTTTCTCGCTCGAGGTCGTGCTGTCAGAGGAATGAACGCGATCGCCCTTCCCGACCCCGGAGAAGGTCGATGATGTCAGTGTCTGAACTCACCTTTTGGTGTTATGAAATTAGGAGGAGTTGTCATTAAATAGATTTCTTTACCTTTTATAAAACATCTGGCAGAGAATGAGCAGGACTGAAATATGGATCTAATCAACAGTCAGAACAAGTGAAAAAAAACCACGGATCAACTTACCAAGGGCCTTTAGAAGCTCCTCCCTTATCGCTGAGGTGAACGTCCTCACAAGGCAGAGTGTTGTCACGACGGCGAACAGCAGGTTGTATGAAAGGACGATGTAAAAGTTTCCCAGCCAATTAAATCTCCCAAAGTCTCCCAAGAGATCAAACCTGGTGATACCTGAGAGAGAGAGAGAGAGAGAGAGAGAGAGAGAGAGAGAGAGAGAGAGAGAGAGAGAGAGAGAGAGAGAGAGAGAGAGACAATAAGCAGATCGACTCTTTTTGGATTCTGACAACAACAGAAAACTCTTTACAGCTGTTTTCTCAGATGCACTCCTGAAAATATTGAGATCACTTCAGGAGGACTGCTCCAGAGATTCTCCTGATCTGGCTGTTCACACATGCACCTCACAGCTGGAGATTATCTCTGTCAGACAGAAGGGGGGCGGGAGGGGGGTCTCAGAGTCAACAGAGTCCTCTACACGATGCTATAATGACAATATTTGTCTTTCTATCAATGCTACGTGTAGTTGAACAGAATCTCAATCTGAACTAAAGAGTGGAGAAGAACATACTGGAGAACAGGAAACATGCAGCAGGTGAAGATTGTTCCCTGGATGACTTAAAAGGATGGCTCGCTAAGTATAGCAGCAGCAGAGGTGTGCAGGTGGACTTCATGTCTCCCTCAGGATCTTCAGACAGAGAAAAAGGAGGTTTTCTTTGCAGAATCCTCGCCGCTCTACGTAGCAACACCGCTTTCAAATCAGCCTTCTCAGCTGATTGAATGCTGCAGGGGGAAGCCATCAGCGCCTCGTTCTCCTGTTAACGCTTCAGGCTTCAACCGCAAGGATCGACTGTGACCTCCAATTATGAAGTTATACAGAGATGTAATTCAGCTTCCACTAACCTGATGTGTACAATTGTGGTTGATACCGCTAATGGTGTTAAAATCATTTTGCATGCAAAGGGAGCACTATGTTAAATCTATGCAACCACAACTTTGTACATGCAGAAATGATCTGGAGACGTGGCACTTCACTTTCTACTTCTCTGGTAACATCTTCACAACCTCTGTCGTCAATTAGACCGTCCAATCGATTCAGTGTCTGCAGAGATGTATTTACAGCCGCAGTAAGCAGTTTGCGAGCATCGAGGACCCTTTAACAAAATTGCCTGTGAAGAGCCAGGGAGAGATATGATGGAGACCCCAGTCGATACAGCTGGCCACTGTGGTCTGACTACATCCATTTCTAATGCCCGGGGTTTTGATCTCGGTTTGGTAATCGGACAAAATCTAATTGGGGGGGGTAAAAAGATGCTTGACATTTGGAATAGCAGGCTAACAGTAGAAGGGCTGGATACACGAGCCCTCAGTTAGTCATACATCCGAGAAGCACATAAGGCTCAGTGAGATTATTTTGTCTGTATGTGAGGAACACCAGCTCCAAGTCACAATACCAAAGGCCATTATTCACGACTCAGCATGGGTCGATAAACAATACAGAGTTCCAAAAACATCCCTATGTAAGTTTTAGTATGTCAACTTTTTACATGCACAGTTATCACTGAGTCCATTATTCACTGTCTTAACGTTTAGCTTTGGGCCTCTGCCTGAGAGAAGGTAGTCTCTGTGTTCTCTATGAAGCTCCAGGTAAAGCAGAGAGGAGCTGCAGGTGATAATTCTCTGAGGGTTAATCACTTAAAGGTCCACTCAGTGAGATGTGTAGAGAGTGAGATGATAAAGGTATCTTACTATCTGATCATTAAGGAAACATGCTATGTTGAAGTGCTGGCTTCTCTGACAACAATGCAGCAGCCAGTATGTCCTCCTTCTAACTTTAGATTCTGGTCCTGAATGCTCCGGATTTGTTTGGACCAGAGAAGGTAGGCGGTTTTAAGACAGCCACATTTACGTGTTGCTCCTTTAAAGTGACCTCTTTCACACCCAAGCGTTGTTTTTCTTGTCATGGGAATGATTAAAATATAGAAACTTGGAAGAGCTGATTTAAACTATAACACCAAATGTATATTCTAGGCTTCAGACCTGCACTAGAGGCACTAGAAAAAAAAGTTTTTCATTCCTACAATTCACAATGTTTTGAGGTTAACAACTCAACTTTGGAAACACACTTTAGCTTAAACACAGATTTTCTATGTTTTAAACGTCTGTGTAAAAAGTGATGATTTCACAGCTTCAGGCAGACTTCATGTCTCTGTCTCCCTGTCCTCTTGCACAATTCATGTTTCCCACACTGACACACACAAAACACAGCAGTACACAAATACCTTTTCTTGTCTCTTAACATCTCACTTCGTCACACTCAACTCTCTGTACGTCTTTCTTCTTCTCTGGAAGGCCTTTTTTCTTCTCTTCAACTCTGTCTCATGCATTTATTCCTTTTTATCTATTCAGCGTCACAAAGCAGAACCTGTTGATATTTTGTAAAGCCCCCAATGAGTCACTGTATGCTCACTGCGTCCTCTTTTCCCACTCTGTTGGTCTCACACGCACACACACACACACACAGCTATTTGAACAGCTGTGCTCTGAACTCTGCATGTTTATTAGTCCCATTGTGATGCTGCTTCTCCTGTCATTTTTACCCCTTCACCCTCTCTCTGTGTCACTATGGGAAACTATTCAACCAGCTAGCGCTAATGATCTCCTGTTGGTGGCAGCACTGACAAAATGTTGTGGAGGGGGAGCATATCTTCTGTCCAGTTGTTGGTGGTGAGGTTGTTATGAAATCCTTCTTGCTGGGGTCAGATAAGATCGATACCGCTCTTTTGTCCTATGGATAAACATAGGGCTACAGCAAATTAGCTTAGCATAGCACAAGCCTTAAAACCGGGGATGAGGATAGCCTGGCTCCATCCAGAAGCGCCTACAAGCAATTCAAGAGATAATTAACACTAACCTGAAAATCCAGAATATAAGTCACACTGGTATAAGACTGTTTTAGGGGGTCTCAGGTTGGTGGTCAGGCTAAGATGTTTTCCTTGTTCCCTGTCTTTATGCTAAGCTAAATGCTCTCACATTAGCTTCATATTTAGCTTATTCTCCCAACGAGAAGGAGAAAAAGCCTATTTAACAAAACTTCAGTATTGCTGTGAACATTTAATGAGTGCACACAGGCTTGGTGTGAATTGGTACATACGCACGTTAACACCTGTACTCACCCAGAGTTCTGGACATCACCGGCAGGGCTGAACTCAGGACCAAGATGGACACACAGCAACCAATGATCTACAAATAAGAATATGAGATGAGATGAGATGAGATTCAACTTTATTGTCATTACACATATACAAGTATAGAGTAACGAAATGAGGTTTGGCATCTCACCAGAAGTGCAAATAAGCAGAAAGTGCACGAGTCTGTGCTATGTACAGTAATTCAACTTCAACAGAATATCAAACTTCAGCTTCTGTATCTTTATAATGTACAGGTTTATGTAAAGGGAGAAAACTGTGAGGCGTGGAGGAGAAAGCTAAAATGTGGCCACACATATGCACCGAGCACTCGATGTTAAATTGGCCCGACATATTGTACAATTAGTCGCTCTGAAGTTGCTCATTACCAGGTTTTCTCTGTTGTCCTTTCAAGCCCTTTCACTGGAGCGTCATGGCTAGTTAACAAGCCTCACCACTCCCAAACTCATTACCAAGTGAATGGGTGCTACTATGGGCCAAAGAGAGCACACATCCTCCACTCCCCACTCCCCCAAAAAACCCCACTCTCCCTCTGATGTACAAGACAGGGGGGCTTGCACTTTGCCGGTGTTTGCGCAACACACAAACAAATATTGGACAGATCAACTAAAGCCATTGAGGGTCCCCGAGGAAAACATTAGTGAGCAGTAGGAGCTCTGACTACAGAGGAAGGCGGGGGGACAGAAGAGGAATTAAGGAGGAAACACAGGGGGTCCCCGAGCACCTCAGCATCTCAGGAAGAGTCTCAGCACCCTTGCCCCCACTTCACCCGACACTCTCCCTCCTTCCCAGCCTTACCGTTGTCATGGTCGTGTCATCCTTCCTGGGCGTGAGGATCTCAAAGACTCGCAGGCTGTAGAAGCCGACGACAGAGGACACCATCAAGTAGCTGTTCAGAAAATCAATCAAGGACCAACAACACTTCTGTGCACAGCAGCTTCACTGACTCTGCACCTTTTCAGCTACCATAAAAGGTGACGAAACAGCACATCTTGTGTTCCGGAAGGTGTCCAGCTTAACTATGTCCTGGGTAAACAAAGCTGCCCTGACAATGTTGCTCTTGGCCATGGAGCATGCTACTTCGGCCACAGACAAAGGAAGGAGGAGGAGGGTGGGGGTCACTGAAAGGATACAACATGAGGATGATCTCTAGCGCTGCCTGAGCCACGCCAAATGTGGAAAGAGAGGTGTTCCCAATGCCTCGATCCTGGAAGACACAAGACAGAAAAACGAGGTAATTCAATGTCATCACACACCAACCTTATATAAACACATCACAAATAAAGAAGGGAAGATGGGAAACGACAGCACTCCAGTTGGCTGCACACACACATGCAATTACAGAAATCCTGCAAAGTAAGCGCGCCGTGCACGAAGAATTTCCCCCACTTGAGAGACAGAATCAAATTGGCTGAGCAATGAATGGAACAAGATGAAAGAGGCTCTTTTCAAATCACTGTCGATCATACAATATGTGAACAGGTGTTCAAACAAAAACGGCACATTGCTTACGGTAAGGAGAGTGCACGGGCTGAAAGCAAGCCAAAAACATAAAAACAACAAAACAAATACTTCAGCAAACACACAAGGTGAATAACCCTCCTCCCCACACCCCCTCCGCCCCCTAAACCTCAGAGACCTTTGGAAACTAGAGCAGGAAAAACACATACATCTCCATACGCTGCACATACCAAGCATCTGTGTCGTCAAGTGATTCATATTTGCTTTGTCGGCCTTGGCACTAGTGTTGATCCTCTCAGGGATCAGGGTGTTGTACGGGGCACATTCAGAACTTAAGACCTCACAGAGTTCACTTCTAGAGGTTTAAGTTTATTGTAAAATGCAAACAAGTGAATGCTGCAAATTCAGCTTTTGTAGAGAGGTATTCATAAGGATTAAGTTTATCTGATGACGAGTGCAGTCTTTTAAAAATCAATCCTCTCCGAGATCACTTGTACATAACTCCATGTATTTGAACAGCACTGCAGTTCAAACACAGCACTTCACCATGACATCGAGGTACCGTGCCTGATTACAGTTTATTACTTTACCTGCAGAAACAATCCAGAGTATATTTTTAAACACAGATTTGGTTTATTATTTGATGGGTGTTTTTTTTTAGTACCTTTCCTGAGTGTGCTAACTTGATTTGTTTTGTCAAAGAGCCTGAAGAAAAAAGGAAAGCCTGGCAGGTTGTTTCATGCCTTTTTATGCAACTGTCATTCTGGGAGCTTACTGCAGAGCCATGGTGCAGTGCTCTTTCTCTCTTACAAGGGGAATTAGCAGACAGCATCTGATGTAATTTATTAATGGAGGGAGGGCGGGCGGGCGGCCGTGCATTAAGATTGTGTGTATGTGCGCACTGGCAGTATGTGCATATGCACGCGCTTTGGACAGCTAGCTCTCACATCGCGCCCTCTTTCAACTCTTACTTTTCATTCCAGTAGCAGAAGGAGTGACGGAGTGTGTGTTTGTGTGTGTCAGAGAGAGGGAGGGGGGCTGGAACGTTAATCTGTGCTGCCTGCCGTAGCTCTTTAAGCAGACATGTTGCATTTGTTTCACCTAGCAGCAATACCTGTGCAGCAATACCTCCCTTTAATTTGTATTTATTTAGTTTCTCTTTTTCGTTTTTTGAAATGCTTACTGGCCTCCTCTGAAGATGAGATTCACTTATAAAGAGAGGGAGGGGTGGAAGGAAGGAAGATTTTTTTATTGACTTATTTATTTTGTCTCTCGATTTTCTATTTATTTAACACAATCTCTGCCCCCCACACATAAAGGCGCACGCACTCCAAACACACACACTTAAGTGTTAACACATATTGTCTCATCTCCCACATAGTACTGCTCTGCTCGTCCCGTACTGTTCTGCATCACTTAATAAAAAATAAACGGTGCAGTGGCAAGGCCATCAGTGTTGTACTAACATTCAAGCCTACGCTTCCCGCCCGTCCTGACTTCAGGTGAGTTAGTAAATGCAACGTCATGCTCTTTAAACGTAGAAAACAACGGAGCTGATAGATGTGTTTTATCTTACGTTCTTTAACAGCACAAATCTGAGGAGCTGCCATAAAAACAAAGGCTATAAGATATATAGAGGGACTAATAAATTCAGAGTTCTGAAAGTGGGAACAACTGTACAACAACCAATTCTTAATCCCGGGTAGATAATTAAAGAAGGATGAGGATTCTTTATTCTGTTGCTCTGATAGTTGCGGGTAATATCACAATAGACACATTTCTTTCTGCATCTCCACCCAAACTGCTTCTACATCTTTAAACATGAAAGTAAACAGAGATGAGAATAAAAGGTGAGTTATGCTCTTAAAAAGGAGTCCCAGTGGTACAGTCATTCTCTCGTCAGGACCCTCCTGTCCAATGGTTCCCTCATTTCAGGACCAAGTTTCTGCTGATTAGTTCTGAATTAGTGTCTGCAGTGTAACGACAATGATGAGATATGTGAACCAAAATGGAATCCAAGCTTTTCTTCAAGTTCTGCAGTCGGTAAGGTTTTAAAATTAATTTAGAAAATCTGTCATGGCAAGACTGGAACTCGCTTAAAAAGTTAAAAGGTCATATCAGAAGTATGCATGCCTGGGAACACTTGAAGGTGATGCTATGCAACATGTTTAGAGAAGGGCAACTTTAGTGAGGTCAGAATTGTGCTCCTGTTGTGGCCTTTTGTTGATTTGACAGTGTCAAGCGTGGCGGCTACCAAAGAGAAGGGCCTGCAGTAACTATTTTATTGGTTCCTCTTAGTGCTTGATCATCAAGCTGTAAAACAACATGTCCTTTGACAGAGGCTTCTCCAGTTCACCTCCTCCTTCTCTGATCCTTGCATTCTCTTTCCAATCCACCTGCTCCTCTCCTCTTCATCATCCTTCCTCTGCAGTGTGCTGAGCACTACTGCAGGATACTTGGAGGGAAGGGAAGACAAACATTGACAGGGCACTTCTATTCAGCTCCCCCCCCCACAACAATCAGCTCATCAGGGCTTCATTTGACTTTCCCACAGTCTGAGTCTCTTCGCACCATCAGTGCTTCCTCCAGACCTCAGAACAGCCGCTCTCTGTACTATCACTTTCTCTCCTCTGTGCTTATCTCTTTACAGACAGTTTGTAGGTAGCTGTGGGGGGATTTCTGTGCTCCAGGGGCAGAGAGATTCAGTGTTGGAGGCTGGGGTTAATCGGGCTGGATAGATAGATGGATATCATATCAGTATCGATTGTTTTGGAGGACGAGACCTTCCCCCCCTCCTCCCCCTCCCCCTCCCATCGTAGCGCTGTGAGATCAGAGGTGTGGCATCCATCCAGCTCACAAACGCGTAAACCATTTAGTGGGGCCATACTGTCAGGGAGGACAGATTCAAGCTGCATGACAAGTGTAATTTGGGGGATTTTCTGCAATGTGTCATGCCAAAGAAAACATCTCTGCTCAATAAAATAATTGGAATGTCGAAGGCAGCTCTGTCAGATGCCCGCGAGACGAGAAATGGAATGAGGGAGAAATAGGATACATTATGTTTCCCGCTCTCAGACAAGAATGCAACCACAAACGCACACACACATGCAAGCACACGCGCGCACAAACACACACACACAGACATGGTCCTCTGTCACAGCAGAGAAGAGATGAGATGAGATAAGGAGAGCTTAAAACACATTGCATGTTAGGCGGAGATGAGAATCTCTGTGAGTGTGGCTCACAGTGAGAGCCCTTCACCTGGCCCTGTGTGCTGCTGCAGGAGGGAGCAGAAGCAGCTTATTCACACTGTGGCCAGCAGACACGTAGTTAGCTCATTGAATCCGCAGACGGCTGTGAAATGACTTTCAATGAGCTTCCAAAACAAAACCAGGGGAACAAGGTTTGAGCCCGATTAACATCTGGTCGGGCCTTTTATTCCATCACGCATCTGGGCATATCCGGAATTTGATTGTCAACGACAGGAACATGGAAGGTCTGATAGGCAAGCTTCAGAGCAGTTTACATTCTGTGTGTGTGTGTGTGTGTGTGTGTGTGTGTGTGTGTGTGTGTGTGTGTGGTTTAGGCTTACTGTGGATCCCTTGGGCATGGCAGTCTCATCCACCAGAAGGTAGAGGATATTAAATGCCACCATAAGAACAGAGATTGTCTGCAGACAGAGAGGAAGATAAAGATTTGTTTACACATGACATGGATATAAAAAAGATTGATGAAATCCACAAAGTATCCAACATCATGATATGATTGAATTGTGGGGGCCTTGCTGATCCTTAAGTATGGTAATGCATAATAACCACCTTGTGATTGTAAACTGTTCCAACATTAAGCCTTGCAAAGCCTGAACAATGTGGGGGTTGTTTGGTGCACGTGCCATGCCTCTCACATGGCCTTTTTACGCCTTATACAACGATATCAGACGGCATAAACAGTGTTCCCACACTATAATCTGTTGAAAATCACAGTTGTTGCAGGTGGCTATTCAGCATTGTCTTAAACAGCTATTAAACAAAAGAAGTTTCCACACCCAGGCGACGTGGGGAAGCTGAGTGAGGATGGGGTTTGAGGTGTAGGGTGTTAGTCCCCCTGGCCACCTGCCAGGCTGAACGCGCCATCAGTAAACAGTTTGGGCTTAATGATAGGTCACTCACCGTTCCTGAGAGCAGGATCAGCATCACTATGGGATACAGCAAGTTCTTCTCCCAACCTGATGCTTTCTTTCTTCTCTCTGAGAATCAAAATGTGACGTTAATTAGGCTCAAGAAATTTACGACAACCAACTTTTTAATAACAAGAATGAAAGACGAGCTAAATGGCCCTTTACAAACCACTTTCTACTGTTGGTTAATTAATACGCTCATCAAAGACGACCACAAGCCCTCTGGCTTTATTTACCCCAGTTGTACAGGTGGGTTTGGTAAAACCTATCACGAATGTGTGTCTCAAACACAATCACCCCCCCCCCGCCCTCCCTCCCTCCTCCCCGCCTTCAGGTTACATCTATTTCATAACTTTTAGAAATGATGCTCTTCCTCTGTAATTAAACACACTCATTACTGCCTTAATAAATCCTGGATACAAAGAAAGACTAGGATATTAATTCTGTCAATGATATGTTGGTCAGATTGTGTGTGTGTGTGTGTGTGTGTGTGTGTGTGTGTGTGTGTGTGTGTGGTGGGAAACTAATGTGTGTCGTTCTTCCCAACCAGATGAAAGTTTGACTTTATATCTGACTTTAACAGCTCATCAGTCATGTTTGTAGACACTGCTGACAGACTGTACTATGAACTGACTGCACTTTATTTTCTGTTATGGTCATCCGTAGCCCCCCCCCCCCACGTACTATGTGTATCTGTCTGCCCTCCAGTCCTTGCCATATTGACTTTCTTTCTCCATTTCCAACCTTGTTAGTCCTCTTTATTCTCAAAGTGCACCCACCCTGCTTGCCCAAGAAGTTTGCCAAGTGCACTTTATATGCACCATCCTTCTAAATTAATGACATCACTAAAAGGCTTGCTACAATATAAAGTTTGCATCTTTTCCAATATCCTAAGTGCCTTTGTGCCCCCCTCCCCCCACCCTCTCCCCTCCACCCTCCCCCAATTCTACTCCCCAAAAGGCTCAGGCCTCATTTATAATATCCTAAAATGGATGGAAAATTATCAGGCAGTTCTGGTCTAGGTCCAAATTAAGAAATTAAGGCAGACGGGAAGAAAGCAGCCGGCTGTCAGCAATATGTAAAAAGCAAACTTCTTGGCATTTATTTCCACGGCAATTTAGAGTCTTTCAGAGAAATAATTCAGCCCTGTCACACAATACAAATACTTACCCAATTTATTCCTCTGATTCCTGATATTGTCCAGTTCTTTGATGAGCTGGTGAGCAAAGCTTCCTCGAGTGTAAGTGTAAGTAGATGCTCCTGCAGAAACAGAAACAATTGAAGGTAATGAAAAGTGTGGCATGAACACGTTTTCTCAAGACTGCTAGAAAGTCTAATAAGTGTCAAATAAAAGATCAAAATGGTTAAAAAGTAGATTTAATATTCTTTTAAACAGGTAAGCACCACATTTTGCATATATTAAAGAAGCAATATGTAACTCTGACACCTAGTGTTTAAAATGAGTACTGCAGCCTACATTCTAAACATCATAGAGAGTTGTCTCCCGCCCCCTCCTCTCTAGAGTCACCATGTGGTGGACTCTGAAGCTTCAGTGTTTATCCAGCTCTGCATGGGTCTGTAAACCTTTCTGTGTTCTAACCTCTCTCCATTTTTCAAAAGCATCTCCAATATTGATCCTAGTTTGAGCACGTTTCTGCTCGTGGAGCTTATTAGAAACATGCAGAGGCTTTTTAGGTCGAGTACAATCACTTCTATCTGAACCACTTCTCTTGACCGCTTCCATCGCTGCAACACCTGTTGACCTGATAACTGCTCTCATATCTGACAAACCGAGGGGCGTCCAAAACGGCCGTGTGGAGGGGTGTATAAAAAGCGCCTACCTTCTCTGGTCCAAACAAATCCAGAGCATTCAGGAGCAGAATCTAAAGTTAGAAGGAGGACATACTGGCTGCTGCATTGTTGTCAGAGAAGCCAGCACTTCAACATAGCATGTTTCCTTAATGATCAGATAGTAAGATACCTTTATCATCTCACTCACTACACAGCTCACTGATTGGACCTTTAACTATTTCTGTCAGAGCACTTAAACTTTTGTAAACTGTATTTTCACCTGATCCATCTAATCAGAAAGAAAAAAAATCATGAGATAATGACATGTCAAGAGCATTTTACATTTTCACTGTGTTTGTCTAATGGTATTTGACTCATCTTTATTAAGAAATCCCATCAAAACAAGCGATCCCTCTTCGAACATAACGAATGTGATCTCAAACAAGTTAAAATAATCTCTTGTGTCAGGAGCTGTCTCGCACATGCCACAACTGGTTGAGCGAGCTGTAGAAGACAGCAAGGGATTCTCCAGGAAAACCGCAGGGCCGGCTCATTTAAGGCTAATTTATCTATTTTACTGTGTTTTCCTTCCAGGTTGACGCACCAGCGTAAAGGACCCCTGGAGCCAAAGTGGAAGAGTATCCATTTGCATCCCCTGGGGTGATTGACAGATCAAGACCAATTAGTTCAGTGTTACACCGTTACTAGCGTGCAATAAAAATACCATCTTTCATCTTTGTTACAGGAGCAAAGAATCAATCACTTTGATCAAACCGGTTTCTTCCCTGTGTTATTACGACACGCCCTGTCTGGATGGCTTTAAGTAGGCAACTGAGGAGAGAAAGACAGGGAGAGAGTGAACAGTGCGTCTGTGCCCTCGCAGATACCTGTCCCGGGATCTAAAGAGGGGAAAGTTTGAACCCTCCGAGCAAAGGCAGTCACAACAAAACAGGAAATGTCATGGACAGTTCAAGCGCTCTTTTTCTCCAGAGACTAACTGAACCCAGCCTCAGGGAAGCCAAACCTGCTCAGTTGCAAGTAAACTAATCCATCACCTCTGTGCATAACATATCCAAACACTGCTCTAAACTGATAAATCATTGATCACATGAATGTCTGGTTTGTAAAAGTCATAAAAAACTAGCAGAACTAACAAAAGAACAAAGAATAATATCACTTGTGTCAGGCTGCAGAGCGAAACAGCTTGACTACAACTGCAGTATCTACGATGACATCACTCCTCCAGACTGAAGTTAAATATATCCTTCTCTGCTTCTGCTGGCAGCATCAAGTACAGGACTGAATTACAGCGAGGCAGAGATGCTGAGTGAGGCTTCTGGCAGCCAGGACGGCCGGAGTAATTCAACGTATCCTCTCCAACCTTCACCACAGTCAAAAGTGACGTCACCCACACAAATGCTAAACATCCTGCTGAGACAACAGAGGCAACGACAAGGTCATCGTGCCGCAGAGCATCTGGACCGCCACTCTGTTGCTCTGCTATCAGCAGCTTAGGGTCTGAGAGGGCAGTGTGGACAGGTGTGAAAGCCCCCGTACCTGTGCTGCAGTATATTTGTATATTTGATCAGAAACAAAAACAAATATAATCTGGTAAAAACTTGAGCGCCGTTCCTCTCAAAGCTGCTTTACAAGGTTAAGATCTGAGCATTAAGCGTACTTCTTGAACTCTCTATTCATCTCCATTAATCTTAAGATAACGCTCATAATGATGCATATTGTGTATCATTATTCTTGAAGAAGTTTTTGGTTCAAACTGGGTAGTCAGGCTAGCGGATTTAATTTATCTTCAATTAAGAGCGGTCTCTCAACAATCATGGAAACAGGATAAAAGGATTATTGGGCCACATGCAGAGTCAAAGTAATAGAATAGTGAGAAGGCAGACTCAGAGGGCAGAACAAACACCTAGCTGTGGGAGTGTCACCCACCTGGGGGAGGGGCTACTGCCCTTTGTGATGTCATGAAGGGAAAATCTCCAAACGGCCTGTTTGAGCACACATTTTCTGAAAAGTGGAGCAGGAAAAAGACGGAGACGATGGACTTTTCTGATGTTAGGGGGGTTTGTAGACAGACTAGAGACACATATTAGAGTTAGAACAACACAGTAAAGTTTGTTTTAATTAATATGTGACCTTTAAGCTTTGGCATAAGTTTGCAAAAATTCAGGACGTGGCTGCTTTGACTGACAGGTATAGCCTTCTGCAGGGAGGTTTAGGGCCAGCTTTAACTCCACCTCTTTGTCAGTTACTAGATTAACCGAAAGCAAAATAGCAACCACCATCGATGAGCTTCAAAGTGCCTCCTGAAAAACCAATGGGTAATGTCACTGAGACAATGTCCATGTGTTATACAGTCTATGTTTTTGTCTTTGTGACGTTAAGTAACATCTTACTGGTAACTATCTCAGGGTTCGGCTAAAGGTCAAATACTTCAACCTTGGACGACAGTGCAGACTCCTAGTGTTGTGACGCTCTGTGAAGCTCTAGGGTTGTAAAGATAAATCCAAAAAAAGGAAGTCACGGGTCTGATGAGACAGCACAACTACTACCAGACTTTATGTCGATAAAAGGCAGGACGAGCAACTTGTGAAAATGATTTCTCAGAAGTTCAATCTTTATCTTTGTGGTCCAGGGGCATGACTCTAAACATATTAGCCTCATTAGACTCTGAAATTAAATAGTTAAGGCCATTAGTCTCTGATCTGCAAAATTTAAAACATCAACATCACAAATGGGCAATTGCATGAAGATGGAGGACAACAAAAGGCCAGATGTGTAAATAAACGCTGATGCTTCAACTGATGTGGCTCAGCAGTGCACGTCTACAAATACAAACTGGGAAAGAGGATAATCTGTTGGAGGAGCTGGATGCAGACACAGGTGAAGCAAGAAGACAACATAGCTCGCCTCTGGAGTGTGTCCTGTGAACTGTTCCTGAACTGCCGTCTGCTCTCGGCAGATCAAAGGAATCGCCACTCAAGCCTGAGTGTGTGCGTGATCACCGAGACTGTGCATGAACATACAGTATGTGCATAAAGAACATTCATGTCAGCATCCTCCTTTGCCTCTTATTCCCTCCGTTATTTGTGGGTTAAAGTGGTCAGCAGCCTGGCCTCAGTACACTGCACACACATTGTTGCTGACCAGCGTTTTTTTTGTGCCTCGGAGACTTGTCAAGATCAAACAGTGCCGAGGATGATAAGGAACAGATTACAATTATTCTAACAGTAACTTCAAAGCAGGGCAGTGTGGAATGAGCACTAAGGAACCATACGCATTGATGGCAGTCTATGGAGGTGACCGGTGTAGCATTTGAAAACATGCTTCATTATCAGGCAGCCATCTCCCTTACCACCCTGGTTTGAAAGGACGCTCATCCTCTTCATTTACTCGCATCTGTACTCCTGGCTGCGTGCTTGAGTTAATATTAAAGTAGCTGTTGGAACTAGTTCAAAATACTTCCTGCTTTTTGAGATAATTCAACGTCAGACAAGGAAATTTGTGAACACAGGGGGCTGGAAATGCAGGCTGAAAAAATAACGTCCTCACCATCCTTAAACTCTTTAAACTTTTCCCTTTGTGCCTGTGAACAGCACACGGCTCCTGGACGCCTTTCAGAAGTCACTGAAAAGTCGCTTTAATGTCCACGGGACTGAGCCAAAAGTTCTTATAAAAGATTTCATTTCCATCCTATTACCCGAGCTGCCATTCTAGGCCTCACATTAAATGAGGCAATTATTTCGCCAGCAGTGACAGTGGCTCTGCAGTGTCTTAAATGGATCCTTAAAAACTTCCTTAACATAAAATATGATCCTGGCTGTGCTGGCTGCTTCGCCCTTTAACAGAAAGTTATGAGTGTAAGAGAGCACTGGGGAAGGCCATGGTGAGTGTGTCTCTATGTCTGTCTGTGTATGAGAAAGTGTGTGTCTGGTTGAATTTTCAATGCTAATTGATTCCAGTGTGACACGCTCCATCACACCCAATAGGGCAGTCAACCCCTCTCCTCTCCTCTATAATGTGCCAACACGTCTACCACAGACATACCGTTTAATCTCCTCTGAAGGGCTTCCTCCTGCAAATGGATGCAGTAAATCTGCTCATCCAGGTCCTCCAGGATCTGAAGGGGAGGGAGCAGAGGAAAAGGAGATGAAATGGGTTATAATTAGGCCTAAAGTGGGACTGGAGAGATGGCAGATGGGAGTATGAGTTGGTGATGTATTTGTAGTCCTCTGTCGCACATCTAAACGGCCGACTGAGACGGATTTATTTCAGATCAGAGGAGCTAGGTGGCGCTAAGTAACAAGTTTAACTGTGTGTTTAAAATCTTGTAGGTTTAGAACGAAATCAAAAACAATCAGTAGCACAAACTAAAAGTTGATAACTTACTGTTGGCTTCACTAGTAACTGGCCCATGACAGTGAACATCCTGGACAATCCCACAGGAGTACACACTACAAGTGAGACAGAAAACAGTGGGATCATTGTGACTGTTCAACCAAACTGAGATTTAAACAGCAAGCAGCAATGACAGTTTTGTTTTTTAGCGTGTATGAGAAGAAACAAGATGGCTTACTGAGTAAAAGCAGTCCTCCCATCAGAGATATGCAGGAGTAGAGGTATGGTAGGTAAAATTCCCAAAGATCTAAATAAAAAAATAAGTACATTTATAAAAAAGGTTAATTTTAAGAAAAAGACAAAAAAGTTTCAGCACACAACCTCCTGTAAAATGTGTTTTACAGTTATAGTAGTAAAGGCAAAAGATAGTCTTCACGCTGAGCTAAACATAAGATAGTCTTCACGCTGAGCTAAACATCTCACAGACATGTAATGCTCTACCATCAAAAAAGCACAGACTCTAAATATAATTGAAGCCTGAGTGACGTCATCCGTCTGTTCCTGCAGGGGGCGCTGGAGTCCCATCGATGGCGGTCTCCATGCTGGAAATGCTGTCTCTGTCTAACTTTCAGTCAACCTAACGACAGGCTGAGAGCTGGAGCTGAGGCGGGTTTTAAACCTCCTGACAAACCGTTACACCGCGCCCACCTGTCAATCAGGTCAGCTACACGCCTTATTGTGAATAACTCTTATCCTTCATCAAATCAAAACTGATGAGTCATCAAAACATTCACCCCCCGTACAGTGTGTGTCCATCCAGACATGAGCTAATCACACCTATTTGGTTTTTTGAACCAGGCTGTAAACATGTTCATCTCTGCTGTAAAAACAGGCTTTTTAGAATGGGTGTATGTGACTTCCTGTGCTTCTGCAGCCAGCCTCTAGTGGACACTCGAAGAACTGCAGAATTTTGTAATTCATTTTTCAACACCGAAGGTTGCCGCTTGCAAAAGACACATATCCCAAATAACTCTGCTACAACAAAAACAGATAATTAAGGACAAATATTAAAACATGCTTTTCAAAAACTTACCATAGAGCGACTCCATGCTGGCTGCATCATTGTCAATGAGCGCTGAGGCCACCCACACAATGCCCAGGATTAGCAGAGCCAGCAAAAAGAGCATCACAAAGGTCTCCAAAATACGTGCCTTAATGCCCTGAAAGGAAAAGTGTAGAGAGAAGGAAGAAGGGCTTTAGATATGGCTAACAGGGTTGAAATCAGAAACAAAATATGAGAAATGTGCATCAACAAGCATAACAGACAGAGTTCAAAGTGATTCATGAGTTTAGAGGTCTGTATCATACATTTCACACTTTAAATTCAGATCTTGATACTTTTGACTAGACATGTCCCTCCTCTTCATTCATCCTGCCTCGCTCATATTAAACACCATCGTTTCCATCCACTGCACACAAACATGACATAAACGCTCCCACAGATTCCTGTGTTAAATAGCTCTTTTATACACATATATCGTGGTCTATAAAGTGGCTCTAACTGGGGCTGGTGCTTGCAGAGGTGAAATTAAAAAGCGTAAAGGGGGGGGGGGGGTGCTGCTGCAAGGAGCATGAAGCCTGGCTGGGTCAGCTACTGTCTGCGATCAAGAGCAGGCCTCCCATCTGGGGCCGATTACTCGCTCCCTTAGCACCACGGTCGTGTCCCGGGCCGTGCAGACGAGAGGCTTTTGGGGTAATTTGGGTTTTCCGGGTCACAAACTGCTGAGTGGTTAATAAAGTCCTCCTCTACCTGTTCACACAGTTGCCATTTCCCCCCTGCTGGAGAGCCGAGCTGTCTAATACTGTGAGATAGATAGGCGTTCTCATACACATGTCAGGTAGGCTAGCAGGCGTGGGATAACAAGGGCTCTCTGCTTTTGGAGCGCTGCTTAAATTGGGCACATATGAGCAATTTGTTACCAGCCAACATAATGGCCGTGCGGTTGCTGTTCAGTATTTGCCAACAGGTACATGAAGGAGGTCTCTCTTTGAAAGTTCCCCCCGTTAATCAAGTGGCTTTATAGAATGGAAATGGTTTCAATTCTGCAGATTAAATCAGACAAGGCTTAATTTTTTCCCCCAGAACAGCTCATGATTAAACCACCTGTCCTTTAGCAAATGCATTCAAACTTGGATCACAGCTGTCTTCTCTTCTATGCAACCTAAAACATAGTCCAGTCTTACTCACTCGGAGCATTTATCTCTTTAATAAGCACCTGTCTGACAAATAGCAAAGGAGTAGACATATAGATTTGTTCAATTTATTTATGAGGTGATGAACCCCTCATGCATCCATTCGCAATTACTAAGCAATCGCTCGCCTCTTCTTACGGTGACATTATGGGAAAGCCTCAGTGAGTGAGTGTAGAATTTTCTAGCACAACAGGGAGAAGAGTGGGCAGGGTCTGGAGTGCCCCAGTGTGGCTGAGGTGGACACTGCATCCACCCGACAGGTAATGTTGGAGGGGGGATGTGGGTCTGATGATCTTTGGTCAGCATCAAACAAATAAATAAATCTTATAACTAAGACGTAAAAAATGATGCATGCATCATAGAGATAACATATCTTAAAGAAGCCATACACACATATTTGCTAATGTTCCATAAGTAGCTTTAAATCCATAAATCAGTGAAAATCAATACACAAAAAATATTGCCACAAATCTGACATGGACATCTTACTCTGCTGACTGCCTCATACGCTTCTGCATACAATGACATTACATTACAAACACTCAACACCCCTGAATACAAGAAAAAGACGAGAAAAGACGAGATGGAGAGAAATAAAGCAGGAGAACAACAGCGAGAGGATAGAGAGAGAGACTGGTGGAGGAGAGGAGTCGACGTCTGAGCGCATCTCATTCCCCGGAGGTAAGAGAGGTGAGAGAGGAATGCTTTCAGGGACTTGAGCCACGTCCCACACGCACGCTCTTAAGGATGCATCGGGACGAGCAGGAGCCAGAGGCGGGACGCGCGCCCGCTCAAGCGCACCAGTCCACCTTAACAAGCTGCCCATGCCATGCTGAAGGTGTATTCCCTTTAGATAGGTCGCTCAATCATTTATAAGACTCAAATCATTACCCATTCAGATCATTTAGGGCAAAGGCAATGCTTGTCACCTCCCTTACTATCATCCCCGGCTCCTGGCTCCCTAGAAGAACAATCATCCGTGTCAGAATGTGCATGAGAAGGAGGACACAGACTCTGAGGCCAGATTGGTTTCATTGATCTGTCCACATCCATGACATTGCACCCTTTCCTATTATTGCAATAGAATTACCATTGTTTCCTATCACAGAGGTAGAGAAAGGGACACTAAAGGGAAAATCCAACTAACCTATCATCACTGATCAAGGATTAAACTGTCAACTGGTGAAGGAAGGCAAGAATAAGACCTCCGCCTTGGCATCCAGAGCGCCTGCTGAAAGTTTCTATTCTTGCCTTTCTAAATGTGTAACTACCTCTAAATATAGCAGCTCTGAAATATTCAGCATCCCCTGATCCTCACACCGACATCGAGTGAGGGGCTGTTTAACTGCAGCTATGCTCGAAACAAGACTGGAGAGACTTCCAAGAATGTAGTGACCAGAGAGGAGAGTAACCGCTTCATATACAGCAGCAAACAAACATGCATGAATTCACGGACGCACACACAGACACACAGCCAGCCAAGTAAATCAACCTCTAAATCCACCCAATTACACAAAGCCGCAGAGGGCCTGGAAACAGTTCACAAGCTCTTTTTTTCGCCTAGCTCGTGCTGCAGAAAAACTAAAGAACAGTCTGGTACGCTGTCCCTGATGTAGTGCTTTGGCCGGTGAATCTAACCACGGTGCAAAGGTGGAAGAGCGTGTGAGAGAGAGGAAGAAATGATACTTGGATGTTTTTGGAGGGGAAAGGAAGAGAAAAGAATTCAAACAAAAGAAAGAGAGGTTCAGTGGTGCAGGAGAGCTTCCTAGCTGCAGCCATCAATCCTCAGCAGGTCAGCAAACTGTGGCAGAGATCATCCAGCAGACCATCCTTCTGCTCACTGTCAGGGGCGTGTGGAACAAGGGGCAAGAGTAACTGAGGGAGGGGGCAACTCTTTCTTCTTTTTAGCTCCTGAGCAAAAAGTACTGCCCTCCTTGCTAAAGACGTGCCAGATGCACAGGGACCTTATTAACGTATCCTTCAACCAGTCGGGCCACAGCGTAGTGACCGTGTCAGAGACAGAAAGCAGAGGAGAGGGACACTCCCCTATAAAGCTGCACAATTAACTTCTAAAGACGCTTAATAAGACTTCTTAATAAAGCACCAATGACGGGACAGCATTGAACATGATCGGCATCACATCGTATCGTTCAAACCAAGAAGGGGGGGGGGGACATAGGTAAAAGTTCAGTGACTTGGTTTTTGGGATGTGAATCAAAGTCACCAGATGAGTCAGAAAACTCAAAGAGTTTAAATAGAGAGGAAAGCTTCAGTACTGCCTGATGTCTGCAGAGTTTTATTTGACATCCTACACTGAACGCAGAAAGGTGTCAGACAGCTACGTCTTCAAAGAAGAAATGACTGTTTCCTGGATTTCTCATCAAATCAAAGAGCTCAAGACCAAGTGCACCTCGTAGCCTGTAGAAATAATACTCTGCCCTACTTTAAAAATAAATTAAAGAATGCTGTCTACATGTATGATAGATGATAATTCTTTAAAATCAGGAAAAACTGCTCAAAATTTGCACAAGAGTCACTTTGTTTAAATAAACTGAGTCACGAGATGAGGAGGGGGGAAAAATCCTGAGCAACTCTCGCTTGTTCCTTTTTAAATTCCCAGCTCGAACTAATATGTTGCTATGGTAACGAACATTGTAACAGGCAGCTTTAGGGAGACATTGTGACCTTAAAGGAAGGTATGTAAACACCACTTTATATTCACCGACTGGCCCTGCCCGAAAGAAGGCCTGGGAAAAATGTCTGCATGTGCAGGAGATTTGAAATAAATATCCAGGCCCCCATTGTGGAGCTCCAACAAAGACGAGTATCTTAGTAACACCACGCGGGGTTTGCTCGGCGAGACGTTTTCTCTCCCCTGCCTCCCCTCTACTCCCCTCCACAATAAACACACTTCTCATCATTGGCGGGTTAGGGCTTAGGATGAGATTGATGAGGAGTTTCTTTAACTACCAGATGAAACCTGTTGGCCCTTTGCTGGGTCAGTCAGGGGGTCAGACTCGTTCCAACTCGTTTCAGGATCAAACACATTTCCATACTGTGGGGAAGACCAACAGACTATTCACTGCACAGCAAATTATGTTCTTCATGCAGAAGCCTTTTTTACATCATGCACAACTGATAATTGAGTATTTCAGGAGCATTAGTGCTGGGATAATAAGATTAGCCTACACTAGAAAAACACCAGGAAGTTGTCATCATTAAACCTTAATTTCTCAGCTTATTGTTTCCGAGTCAATATAGCGACAATATTTCCTACTCCTCATGCATAATTATTGAGCACACTTAAGTCCCTTGATATAAATAGAAGTCTGAACAAAGGCTGGTGCTGATGTCTTCACAGCCTTTGTCAGAGCACGCTGATCATCTCATGAAGGACGACAGGGATGCTCTCGTCATTATAATGCCATCTACTGGTGGAGACAACTATAACAGATGAGTCAAACTAAATGCTAAACCTGGCTATATAAAGCCCTTCATTCTGTAAAAAACAACAACTTCCAAACAATCTTAAAAGTACCTCCTTTTAGGAAACAGCCTTTTATGCAAGATGCAACTGCATAAAAAACAAACAGTGGTAGAAGTTTTTAAAACATGACACAACGGCCCTTAGCAAAGATTTGAGAGCCCAGCAGTAAAAGTGGGAGACATTTTACAGCAGCAAATAAAGCCAGATCATAACATCTGACATCAAGAGCCTAAGTCTCCCTGATTCATCCACAATTTAGACAATTTGCTGAACTATTAATCACTAAGGTGACAGAGCCTCTGAAGAGGTGAACAGTTAACATAAAAAAAAAAACATCCACATTTCCATCTTTATTCTGGTGGCGTCTTTTAGTACATCGTCAAAAATAAACACAGCCACATGAAAAGGCTGACTTGCGAGGTTAGCGGTGAAATTCATCATTCACTTCATTTCCGCAGTCAGAGGGAGCTCGCAGTGCCATAACATTAGCACAGGAGGTTAAAATGCCACATAAAACCTTATGACAATGTGCTCCAATGCTGTGATTTGGAGAGGGATAATATCACATTATAAAAAGTCGGATCTGTGTTTTACATTCCTCGAGCTGTTGGCCGCATGATCGTCCCTGCAGGCCGCTCTGTTTTTTTTTTCTTTTAAAAGGTGAAACAGGGGTGTCACCTCCACCTTGTAGAGCAAACACACAATATATACGCAGAGAGTGCAGCTCAACATTGAACAGGGCTTCCTCTGAGCAAATTTATGGAAGATCAGTAGCGAGAAACAGTCTTGCAGAAATGAAAAAAGAACATAAAGGAGAAAGAGGCCCGTGTCCTGCTTCTTACACATCGGGGTCTGCCCTCTGCCGAAACAGAAATCCAAGCGAAACAAATTAGTGGGCCGAGGAAGAAAAGAACTGGCTATACACTACAGTACAGACTAATTTTTATGTGCTTTTGCCAGGAGGGACATAAACCAGAGAGGTCTCAAACTGTGACACAGGATAGAGGTGTATTAAAAGTAAATCTTTCCCCCTCCATTTTGCGAGGCTCTATTGTGCTGTCATGTTGCTGCCACTTTATGGACTTTTGGAACACGAGCTCCCAGCCTGCTTTTTTTTTTTTTTTTTTGGTGGGTAATCAATTAAACGAGGAAGTTCGCTGAGCCTTACAACTCGATTATTAGCCTGTCCTTTTGAAGTTTTATTTTAGGGGGCTGGGGAGGGGGTGACAAGGAATCAGGCTTTAAATCAGTGGGGCCGATGCAGCAGTGTTGAAGCGTTTGCAGCCTATGGCCTTATTGGAAGGGTTTGTCAGGATGTGGGGCAGGGCGAAGTCCAGATTCAGACTTTCATGGTTAATGAGCTTTCTGCGGTGGCAGTTACAGTCAGTGGCGTGAGTCAGTGAGAGGGCAAGGACAAGGCACCTGCTGCTGCTTTGGTTGTGAAGAGAGACCCCATGCATACATGACAGAAGAATACATCAACTACATTCTGTCAGTCAAAGACAGAAAATAAACTGAGGTTCACATTTTCAAGTTCAATTTTTTTTTTTAATCTTCCAAAATTAAAGGAGTAATATGTAACTCTGACACGTAGCGTTTGAAATGGGTACTGCAGTCCAGATTCAAAACATGCAAAGTTAAGACTTCTGCCGACAGGGAGGAGGTCACTTATGTTAGGAGGGCCAAATCAAACTGATATCTCAGGTCCTTCGTCCCAGCAGCAGTTTCTAAATAAACTGTTTGTTGACACCAATTTCATGTGTGTTGTGGTTTGTGTGTGTGGTTGGTAGTGTGGACGTTTCCTGCTGCAAACGTCACCTGCGCACAGTTGGTAATTACAGCCACAGGTAGGTAGAAAGGGGAGACACAGGTGAATGGGGAGAGGGAATTAGTGGAAGCCACACAGTTTTTCAACCATAGGTGTGTAAAGATGTTGTCTGGCGCGTTTAGACTTTATCTATGTTCATGAGCTAGTTTCGTCTGATGCAGAATAGGCCTACATCCGTGTTTTTGTTGGTGTTTTTAAGATTGCTGATTAATAAATACAGCAAACATAATTAACGGCGGACATTCCATTTTTTACCCACCATGAGTTGGAAATGACTTAAAATTCCCTCCAGTGGCACTTTTTGTTGTTAGATTGCCACTACACTGTTGACTGTTAGTCTTTGTGTCTCTTATCTCACGTCCATCATGATGATATCCATGGGAGTTATGCTTTATATGTTTGTATTTATGTTGTTTTTATGACGTGTATTGACCTCTGTCGCAAACCAAATTGTCCCTCAGGGACAACAATGATTTTCCAAACCAATCAAAAAAACAAGGGCGTCCAAAACGGCTGTGTGGGGGTGCCTTAAAACCGTCTACCTTCTCTGGTCCATACAAATCCAGAGCATTCAGGAGCAGAATCTAAAGTTAGAAGGAGGACATACTGGCTGCTGCATTGTTGTCAGAGAAGCCAGCACTTCAACATAGCATGTTTCCTTAATGTCTGATCAGATAGTAAGATACCTTTATCATTTCAATCACTACACATCTCACTGATTGGACCTTTAAAGCTTTAAAGATTGTAGTTTTCACCTCTGATGCAGAGTTATTCTCAGATTTAGGATGCCCAAACTTATTCTCCACTTCAAATACAAAGAAGAGTAGAAAGAAAAAAGGGGAAATGATTCATATATACTTTAAAAATGTACCTTCTTTGATCCTGCAAATCCCTCAGATTCCAAGAAGAAATAGGCAAAGGGCATCAGGACAAAGAGGCAAAGGTTGGAGAACAGTGACACCAGGTTCCACAAACCTGCAGAAAACAAGTTAATTAGATTGAACAAATGAAAAATGTGTAATTTATTCAGCATTATTCAGATTTTTTTTAAACCTGTAAATGCTAATTTTTCCCATAAACCGACTTCCTTTGATAATAATGTTGCACTAGTTGGGAGGCGATTTGCAAACTTGTATTTTTCTGTCAAGTGTTCCAGCCATGTTTAAGTTGTGGAGTCTGATGCCCCCTGGTGGCTGTTGCTGCATCTAACAGCCTTAATAACAGAGTTGGTGGTTAACACTGATTCTTAACACTCTGCATGACTCACTGTGAGATACAAATCTATTTTTTCTGATAAAACAAATAAAGCAGTTGGGGAACTAAATCAGGGGGAACTTTGTCGGCACAGCTTGCACAGTTGGTACATGGATACACATATGTAGTTAAACATGTAACACGGAGAAACACATAACGGTATATCATAGCAGCCAATATAAGAGTCAATGAGAAAGTTTGTTGAGAGCTTTTTGTAACATGCCCTCATCCAGGTCAGAGTCCCGTATCTACAACCTCATGACAATCACACATGGCCTGTTTTTTTAAAACATCGGGAAAAAAGAAACTGGCCTGTTCTTATAAAAAGAAGCCGACACATTTACAGTAACATCGAGCCCTAGTTGGTTAGAGCATGCACCCTATGTACAGAGGCTGGGGGTCCGCCTAGGCTCTGTGTTCCCAACATTTCCTGTATATAAAAAATAAATTAATACAAATACATTTCTTTCAAAAAGAAGCCCTTGTTGAGACAAAGTAAAAACCTTGCTGACATCTGAGTGCACTATGCTGCTCTTTTGGATATTCCAAAAAGATTGTTAATAGCATCAAATCAAATATTCCAGAAGATGTTTTCTTTGCTTCCGAGCAGAAAGAGGGAGAAGGTTAATCATAGAAAAAGATACATGAAGTGTGTGATCCACTGACCGTGAATGAGGGAGCCATTGAGCCACTGAATGTAATAGTTTTTGGGGAAGGAGAGGAGGATCTCGTTACTAATGATTGAGAAAGGCAGTAGGAAGACGGCACCACCCGACACTGCCAGGGTGAAGGTGCACAAGTACAATCTGCAAATGGAATCACACACACACACACAAGTGTTAGGACTGGTCGAGAAAATAGAAAAAACTAAAGCGAGCAGAATCACACCACATTTCATTTGAGATTAGATTCAATCTCATGAAGAAATGCATGAGGATTAGTTTTTGATCACATGTTAGGATATAAAAGAGTAACTTTACAGTGTGACAGGATTTAGGAGCCAAAAATAGGTGAGAAATGTACCTATTCACTAACAGGAAGCACTTCTACAGCACCGGTTTTAACTGCCAGTGGGCTCTAGTCAATCTATACTTTTAATTATCCTCCACACTCCACCCTGCCCTGCCCCTGGCCTAGGACAAAAGAAAAGACACTGGCTGTGTTCCTGCAGCCTGCAATGATTTTTGTCTGAAATTCAGAGGCTCCAGATCGGGCCCTGGGGGGACTGACCATCTGCTCAGTGGTCCTTAGTGTGCAGCAAAAAGTCTGCTCTTCACCACATCGCTAAAGGAACTCATTAAGTGAAATGCTTTCTGGGCTCTTGCTTTGCAGCAACAACAGACCCCCCCACAGTGTGATGTGTTCTGTAATTCTAAACTGACTGGTATGTGATACCACAAACACAGATCTGTAGTGCAGTAATCACACTGTTAAGGCCACACGAGTCCGCACGTTAAAAAAACAGAAGTACGATCTCATGTTGTGTCAGTCATGTTCACACACTGACTCTGAGACTTTCATCCGTCATTATTTCTTTCTGAACAGCTTGATTTTCTGCATTTTTTCTCATCCAGCCCTCGACGTCATCTTTTGTTATTGTTTTGATCGAGAGCCCCCTGGTGGCTGAGTTTACATACTGTGGGTTTAATAAATATTGAGTTGCTCTGAAAAGTTCATTTTCCCACCCGTGGTTGGTTGCAACAGATTGTTGTAAAAAACATGGATCATAAAAGAAATCAGCTTTACTCACGATATTCTATTGACAACAGCATCTTCATCTTCATGGTCGTCTGGAATAAAAAACAAACCACTCAATAAATAGCACTCAAAATAACAAAAGACACAATTATCCTATCTATACTGATCAATGTGTTACAGCAGATAAAACATTCAAGTTTGACGTCTTTAAGCTGTTATAAATACAAAATAGAAAAATGAGCAGTGGTTTTAATACTAAGAGGATAATGTGAGAATCGTCCAAATGTGTGTGACTGCACAGAAATGCTCATGAAACTGTACTTAGTAATGCATGTAACAACATTTTAAAGTTCACCATTCCTTTGAACTGTGATGACAAAGAGTCACCTACTAATCCAATAGGTGTAAGAAAAATAACAGACTACTGCACTAACTGGAGAGGGGATTTCTGGAGCACAGGTGTCTCAACATGTAACAACGGAAGCCTATAGGTGACCTGGACGTACTAAATTAGTCCTGGGAAAGTAGGATACAGTTCAGAGTGTCTGCCTGGGCTTTCTCTCCGTTTTCTCCTCAAAACAGGTGTGAGAAGTTTCTTGTTCTAAATCCACTCTGATCCTGTATTTGATCATGTCTATAAACCCCTCTATTTCAGCCCTGCTCAGAACAGGCTGTTTCTGTGTCTGTACCTTTAAATATGTAAATGAGCTGTGTTTGACCACGCCCCCTCTCTGGAAGGGCTGGGTGTACTCAGTGCTTTCTCGCTCCATGTCATATTGTTTACGGTGAGAAGGCAGACTCAGAGGGCAGAACAAACACTTAGCTGTGAGAGTGTCACCCACCTTGGGGAGGGGCTACTGCCCTTTGTGATGTCATGAAGGGAACATCTCCAACGGTTACAAAAATTGTAAATGGTTACGACATCATTTTTTCCCGTGTACACGGTTAACCTTTTTTTTTTTTTTTTTTAATTAATAAAAAAAAAAAGAAAAGAAACGTGGACCGCAGTCATGCTATACAACCAATGGAGGGTGCAGCCGCTTTTCAGAAAGATTCCTCCGCATCACTGCCGCCACTCAAAGTTGTCAGACAGATACAATTGTGCTTTATGAAGTAGGCTGTATAAGTAACACAGAAAACTTGCCATAGAATTTGAAAAAACAAATACCTGTATGTATTTATTTTAGGCCTATAATAAGGCTATGATAAAACAACGACCATGATGAGTATGAAAGCCAAATGTCCCTTACCCGCCGAGTTCAATCCCCCAGGCAGACTGCGCGGACCCCACCCATTTACCTCTCAACGGTTTCACACCCTCTTGAACTCTCTTTTCAAAGTTCTTTTCAACTTTCCCTTAAGGTACTTGTTGACTATCAGTCTTGTGCCAGTATTTAGCTTTAGATGGAGTTTACCACCCGCTTTGGGCTGCATTCCCAAACAACCCGACTCTGAGAAGACCGGACCCCGGCGCAACGGGGGCCGTTACCAGCCTCACACCGTCCACGGGCTGAGCCTCGATCAGAAGGACTCAGGCCCCCGATCAAAAAACATTTTAAAATTTAAAATTTAAAAACGGTTTTCGTTTACTGATTTTTCCTAAACGGTTATGATTTACTAACCGGTTACACGTGCACACCCCTAGTTTGAGCACACATTTTCTGAAAAGTGGAGCAGGCAAAAGACGGAGAGGATGGACTTTCCTCATCATTGGGGGGTTTGTAGACAGACTAGAGACACATATTAGAGTTATAGAAACATGGGGGAGTGGATTTTACAGACATGTGACCATGTCAACTTGAATATTTGGATTTCTATTTTTAGTCTTTTCTTTCTTGTGACTCAAACACAGTTTCACAGTCGACAAAAACAACGAAACATGTCGTTCTATTTAGGATGTTGACATTTAGTCCTTCAATAAACCTTCATTGTTTGAACATCATTCAACTGGACAGTTTTAGTCAGTATTGATTGTTATAGTAAGACAAATTGTGTTCACTAAAAGCGATGTTGGGCGGATACATTTTACACTGACACCGAGCTGACTGAAACAGATTACTCTACAGGCTTGGGTGCGGTTTCTCACACACACACACAAACCCTGTGTGGCTGCCGTGTCCTTTAAACACAATGACAGGCTCTGTGTGTGTGTAAACACAACACGACCAGGTGGACTCACTTCTAAGATGTTAGCTGTGGAAACGGATCCACCACGGACACATTTCTTCAGCTTAAGTGTAGAAGATTCTTTAAAAGGAGACACGGTTTCTTTCTGTTCCCACGGGCTCACAAACACTTACCGCTCTTCTTCTTGTATCTTGTTATGATGCAGTAGGACACAATGTAGAGGACTGCAAACAGGAGGAAGCAAATCTGAAAAGACAACATTAACATTTAAGTTAATATTGACCGATGACAGTAAATGAAAATGAACTTAAAGCTGACACTTCACAAGGATTTCAAACTTACATAAAGCAAATGTGCTTCAATGCACTGTACAAGCTTTGCTATTTTATCAGACTCCCATATATCAGACTAACTTTTTACATCTACTGTCTGTCTCATTTAAGTGGTCATTTGTGTTATTTTTTTGCGTCAAAATTGTCGAGTACATGCACTTACTACAACCTAACACAGTGGGGTGCCAATAGCCTAGCAGTTAGTGTGCACTACCATCCCATGTACAGAGGCTGAAGTCCTCGAGAGCAGGCAGCCCGGGTTCAAATCTAACCTGTGGCTCCTTTCCCTCATTTCCTTCCCCACTCTCTTTCTCTCTCTCCAATTTCTGACTCTATCCACTGTCTTATCTCTAAAATAAAGACATAAAATGCCCCAAAAAATAAATCTTTAAAAAACATAAAACATTCAAGCAAGTTGTTGTTACACAGATTATTTTTGGGGTTATTTTATCATGATCATGACAAAAAAAACTTATTAACAATGACAGACTGAAACAGAAAATGTTCACATTACGGTACTAATATGCAAAGCTGATTAAATAATAAAATAGCCAGATGATGAACAGACTGATTCAGCTTTAATAGTTTGAAAAGGCGTTGTTGTTGATGATCTCAGTGTATCGTCCAGTAAGGGCAGAGTGAAGAATACAAAGAGGATGCAGACTTGTCCAGTCAAATATCGCCTGTGCTCTATAATTGTATAATATGATGTCAATAAACATGTATCACTGCTCATAATAATGAAGATAAATGTGATTTTGCCATTAAAGATTGCAGAAATAGATAGTTATAAGTAGATAACTTCAGAGAACACAAGTGAGTAATGCATCATGTTTTGGTCTGAGTGTTCCAGAAGTTGCCACTGAATGGAATTTATTAGGTACCAGCAGCCTTTAAACAAGCTGGATGGTCTTACAGAAAGATCACCTTCCACATTCCTCCTTCTACTGTGACCGGGTCCGGGACTTAACTAATGTTAGAAGCTCCCACTTCAGCACTTTGCTCCCTGTCAACATTGCACAACTCATCATGTCCCAAAGTGGGATTATGAGATGACTCAGCCAGACAGCAGGCCGAGCGTGTACATTTCAGACGGACGAAATGACATCAAAAAAAGGTGCCAGACCTCCTCGGTCAATCTGCTGGGTATGTGGTGTTATATGATAGCAGTAGAGAAAACATTTTTCATATCCTCTGCAGTCCCTTTCAAACACTAAGACAGCTGATACATGTAAAGCTATGATCTCTGTGGTGACAGTGGCGTAAGACAAAAATAGATTAACACCTAGAACAACACAGAATCAGGTGCACAGAGCAGATAAACTGGGACAGACCCAACAACACATGATCGCCCTGTTTTCATCTAAAAAAATAAATAAAGAGTAGTTCTGTAAGCAATGGAAGAGGAGCAGGTATCAAGTCAGGAGGGGGGCGGTTTGCAAGCACACCCCAACCAACTCAGGAACAGTATTTCACACTTGTATTTCACACTTTTATGATAGATGACTCGAGCTGGAGGTCAAGGGCGGTAGTTAAAGTTTTTCTTGAGGGAAGATGGTACAAATCTTGCAACTAGATGAGCTGCTTCGCCTTTATCTAAGCTCTGTAGTAGTTCTATTATTGGGGTATTTTAGCAGTAATCACATTTCAGATTTGTCCACACAAGTTACAGGTACATGCACTGTAAGGAGTTATAATTAACCACAGACTGAATGGCTTAAAAATTAATGGCGACCCGAGTGACATCATCCATCTGTTCCTGCAGGGGGCGCTGGAGTCCCCTCAATGGCGGTCTCCATGCTGGAAATGCTGTCTCAGTCTAACTTTCAGTCACCCTAACGACAGGCTGAGAGCTGGAGCTGAGGCGGGTTTTAAACCTCCTGACAAACCGTTACATCGCGCCCACCTGTCAATCAGGTCAGCTACACACCTTATTGTGAATAACTCTTATCCTTCATCAAATCAAAACTGATGAGTCATCAAAACATTCACCCCCCGTACAGTGTGTGTCCATCCAGACATGAGCTAATCACACCTATTTGGTTTTTTGAACCAGGCTGTAAACATGTTCATCTCTGCTGTAAAAACAGGCTTTTGAACGGGTGTGTGACTTCTGCAGCCAGCCTCTAGTGGACACTCGAGGAGCTGCAGGATTTTGCACTTCAGCATCGGCTTCATTTCAGAACACTGGAGGTTTCTGCTTTTAATAAACGTGATTAGAAGACAGACTTCTGCTTCAAAAAAGAAAAATCATTCTTATTTAAGAAAGCATAAGAATGATGTAACATGTAGATATTTCGAGGTGGAAGTTGGGAAATGTGACATCAGACTGTTACACAGCATCCTGTTTTCACCTCAGCGATCACATAAACAAGGTTGTCCTTGCATTCTTTAGCTAATGTTTTACAGTACGGACCATATTACAGGATAATCGGTTTCCCACACTTCAGGTCTATCCTATTTCTAAGTCATGTGTAACAACTTTTTTTAAAAACAGCAGACTAATGTTTAACGCCTGCACACCAATATCGCCTGCACACCAATATCATTTAAAGCTCCTAGAAGTCAATCCATATGCTGAGTCAGCATAGGCATTAAGAGATTCAGTGTCATCACAGCCTCATGCAAAGAGATCATAGGTACAGAAGTTCGATATGGGACACTGAGAAGACGCTTAGGACAACATGTGCAAGCTTCAGCTGAGATGTTGAGATTGCATGTTGCTCCACAGAGACACTTGATAGTTTCCATATTTCGGTCGTGTTTATGAAGATTATTCAAGAAGCCCTGCTGCAGACAACGTGTCCCCTCTTAAATCATCTCACTTAAACTGTTGTTTTGAGAAATTAGGACGAGACATCAAGACACAACAACGTGGATTATGGCCAAAGAAGATTCTGTACTTCCGGTCTCAGCATAACAAGAAGAGTTATTATCTTTTTTAATATGTGATGCACATTCAAGTGACCAGCCCACAAAGAAGTGGCAGTAGGGAAAAAACTGTCAGACAAGATCAGACAGAACTTCTTGTAATCAATATATCACAAAAAGAGCTCAGTGTCCTGCCCCAAAGGTCTGCTAATAATATGAGCCATTAAAAAAGAGATAACGTCCTAAAGAACTGAACACATTCAGACTGAACTGTTAAGAAGTCACCACAGATCGTCTCCATGACGACGTTCAGACAAGTTGTAACAGCCTCTTCTATATGCTCAAAAGTACACTTCTTACACTTTTTACTTTCTTATGAAACTATGATTATTAATTGTGTTGGAACACTCACTCACTCCATAAAATAATATAAAAGGTTTTAAACATATCTCACTATGACTACACGATTAATCGTAAAATAAATCACGATCTTGATTCATACAATCGTCTTTCTAAATGACAGTGATTCACTTGCTGCTACTTCCCTTTGCATTCAGAACAAGCTGCATTCACACTAGGTTCACATCTTTGCTTCAGAAAAATCCCAGCTTCTCTTCAGGTATCAGTCACACTCACAGCGTGAAGCAAAACATTCATTTAATTCATTAATCGGGCCATAGACCAGCCGATGATTCAGACATCATGGCACTAGACGACACGTGTTTTTGTCCGAGTGCAATAAAGTTTTTTGTTGAAAAATTCTGAATCGTGGGAGGGAATCATGATATATAAATGATGATTTGATTTAGATATCCTTTAAAAACCCTTATAAACACATCAACAAACACACATACGGCCATTGTTCTGAAACATTAAAACTGAGTGTTTTATACTGAAAATGAAACAGATTTTTTCGTATTATTTTTTTGGTGTCTGACTTCCTGTTCTGTGGTAAATTGATGGGTCGGGCTCCGGCATCCTGCAAAAATAGAAGCCTTGTGCATCTGCTGCAGAGACGCAGCGCAGAAGAGCCAGTGGAGGCACGCCCAGTGAATAAAGTAAAAATCTATCAGCTCTACTGCCGTAAAGGAGCGGAGACAGACCGATCATGCATCTGGTGGAATTCAGGGGTTATCAAACTCAACTGAACACAAACATGTATGGACGACTGTAAGACTGCAGTAATTTTTAACAATGCAACTTGTTTAAAATTAACTGCGCAACCCCTTCAGCTAAAAATAAGCATTTTCCTTTCAATATAATGTAAATATCAATACTTGGCGGACATGAATCAATATAATATCACCACACAAAATATCACGATACTATGCTTTAAAGATTTTTTCCCCACACCTCTAGTGTCTATCTCATTCCTCGCTTCAGACGGACATTGACCCTCATGTCAGAGTTATAAGTTAACTATGAATGTGTCTGTCAACTAATGCACAACAACAATGTTTATGTTGTTCTTGTATGTTATGTATATGTGTTTACGTGTGTACCACCAACCTGTCAAAGGGACTACACATGGAAAGTGTTCCATATGGTTACACTGTCCCTGTTTTAATTTAATCAGAAATGCGTTGATGTCAGAAAGATTTGTCCTGTTTTGCTCTATTTTTATGTTTTCAATGTTTGTATGTTATTTTCAATTGGGTACATTTTATTTGTGATAGTAAATATTCTTACTTTGTTATTTTTACTGTATTTTATTTTAACTTTGTTTAATCTCTTAAGGTGAGGTTTTGAGATAAGCCCTCACCTGCACATGTGTTTTATTCTTTATTTGTTTTAATTTTCTGTTTGACTCATATTTAAAAAAAAAAAAGTGCAAATAAACTAAACTAAACTAATTAAATAAGAGTTCAGATGTTTTGTAGCCACAAAGTAAAAAACAGTATCTGAAACTGAAGCAAAGTTAAGGATTCATTAGATAATAAAGCATTGTACATTTTATATAACTCATTGATTTTTCCATATCTCACATACTGTGTTGAAGTATGGTGAAGTGCCTGTAAAACATTCACCCATTCAATTTTCATTTTGCAAAAGAGCCATAAGAATCATCAGTAGAAGTCGGTATAGAGATCCATCAAACCCGATATTCATTCAGTTAAAGTTGTTGAAATTTCATGAATTAGTTGATTACAGTATTCTGCAAATTATGTTTAAAGCTAATCAGAAAACATTGCAAAAAAAACATCCGAAACAGATTTGAAAAAAGGGAAAGCCGTTATAATTTAAAAGGAACAGAGATCTTTAACAAACCGAGATTCAGAACCAAATTGAGGGAACGATGTTTTACTGTGAAAGGAATCTCAACAGAGAAACTAAAGAATCAAAATCAAACATGATATTTAAAAGAAACATTAAAGCCAGTTTGTTGAATAAATATGTGGAAATATGTCAGTGAGATACTGTTTTGTTTTGTGATCCTGTAACAAAAACTTATTGTGATATACTTTGTACAGTGTATAATGAATTGTTAAGGAGGACTTACAGGGGGGCTGCCAGTGGCTGTGTTTACCTGCAGCCAATTAAATTAAATTTAAATTGTTTTTGAATTAAGTGTTTTGTTTTGTTTTAATTCATGTTTTGTGAAAGAGGGATTAGTCTTCTTTCTGCTCCTTTTCATTAAAAATTTAAGATTTTATGTTTTTCTTAATTTTATTGTTTCTTTGAATTAAATAAAATTTACAAAATAATTAACAATGTCTGTGAGCATTAACTGTGTTTCCTCTCATTTTAAAGTTGTTCTCATTTAATCTCTTGTTCATATTGAGTTTATAATGTTTCTATATTTATATAGTGTCATGTTTATGTCTGTCTTTAAGTCTAATTCTTCTGATTTCATCCTAAAAGTCAGCAAAGGGACAGAGAGCAGCCAAATATCCACCTGCAAAAAAACCTGCTTTTGTATTTTACATATGAAGTAATGTTCATTATTGCATTCCCTGTTAAATATACATGTAAAATGAATAAATAAAAAACACATATTAGTTATTAAAAACAGAGAAATACATATTAGTGATTAGAAACAGAGAAATACATATTAGTGATTAGAAACAGAGAAATACACATTAGTGATTAGAAACAGAGAAATACATATTAGTGATTAGAAACAGAGAAACACACATTAGTGATTAGAAACAGAGATGTTTTGAGTGTAAAACGGAGATAAACTGACAGATGTCCGTTAACGTCCCTGTGCAGCAGCAGAGGACGCTGTTAGCTTGTTAGCTCGTTAGCTCGTTAGCCGTCACTAGCGTTACTTACGATGTACTCTCGAACTTGGCTGTGGAAATTCTGCTCTCTGATATAAACATCGTCTTCTTCCATTCTTCATATTGCAAAAATCTAAAAAAAAAAAAAAAAGAAGGCGACTACATGCTAGCTCTCACAACAGAGACAAACTCCCTCCCTCGGTCCTGACAGAGGAGGAAAACCAACCGCCCCAAAATAAACCGCGTCATCACGTTGTGCGTCACTTCTTCTGCTTCTTATCAACCGCGTCATCACGTTATGCGTCACTTCTTCTGCTTCTTCTGTGGTTGGCAAACCAGCTTATCGGTGCATTAGTGCCACCTGCTGAATAGAATAGAATTACTTTATTGATCCCAAACTGGGAAATTGAGGCGTTACAGCAGCAGGTTGTCCAAACACACAATGTTAGCAAATCTAAACACAATATAATATTAAATACAAAGTAAAAAAGCACTAAAAATATAAAAACTAAGAATGTGAATATATACAACCAGGATTTAACTTAGCATTACTACTCTTAAATAGGAAGATTACATTTAAATGTGCAAAAACAGAGTTGTAAATGGACAGTATTGACATAAGTTAAAGTGCATGAGTGTAGACATGTTATCAGCAGAAACTATACAATATAACGGCGAGTAGACAGACAAATGAAGTGAACATGAGTGCAGGGATCATTTGTAAATGTAACATGTGCAGAACAGATTATAGTATGGAGAAACAAATATTATCATGATGACAGTTCTCTGCTCACATGAGGTGAGCTGTTGTACAGAGTTATGGCCTTCGGTAAGAAAGATTTCCTGTATCTGTCCTTGTGACAGCGGAGTTGGATCAGTAAACTGGAGAGTAGATCAGAAACCCGGCACAGGAAAACAACAACAACAATAATATTAATAATAATAATAATAATAATAAATAATAAATAAAATAATACATAGAAAAATAATAAATAAATAAATGATGATTAAATTATAAAACATCAATTATAATAAATTATAATATAATAATTAAATAATTATAATAATTATCATTAAAATAATAAGTACATAAATGATGATTAAATTATAAAATATAAATAATACATACAATACAAAAAAAACATTATAGTAAATAATAATTTGGTCAGTGGTTCAAATTCAAAAACTTTATTTGTCCCTGGGGAGCAATTCAAAGGCACACAGAGCAGTAAATTAACAATAGTACGGGTAGATGAAACATTTTAACCTAAATATAAAGTGTCAATTTAAATACAACTTAAAGCTTAAACTTAACTTAAAAATACAAAATATAAAAGAGTAGATATAAGTGGACAGTGATCGGATTAACAGATGTAAACAGAACTATGTGCAGTAGTGACCAGATATGGCAAAAGCCTGGTGACTGCAGCCATAGCAGCCCTCAACAAAAGGCCAAACTAAAAACACCCCAGTCCCACTCTGTCTATATATTTGTCTGCATGTTATCTTGTTGTGTTTGTCCATCTGTGATTATCTGTCGGCGTGCTGTCCATAACTGTACTGTGAAGTGGAAAAGTAAAGTAAAGTCTGAAGTCTAGATGTAAACAGAACTATGTGCAGTAAACGAGAAATAAATATATATATACAGAGTGGTTAGTGCGCACGCCCCATGTACAGAGGCTGTGGTCCTCCAAGCGGGCTTCCCGGGTTCGAATCCGACCTGTGGCTCCTTTCCCTTGCGAGTGGGCGGGTGGAGGAAGGCAGAACTTGAGATGGGGTTACATGTTAAAGTCTGCTGAAGCACTCATTACACTGAGAGTGGCAAAAGTGAGGGGAGGACCGGATTTATTATAGTAGAAATACAGATTATGTTAAACAGAATCATTAACAATGTCGGGTTTGCATGGGTACCTGCCCTCTGTTTCTAATTGGCTAGTGTATGCACTAACTAAATATGCAAGAGTCTTACATGTTTTTCCAACAGAGGCTGGACCGGCGACTTTGAAAAAACATTTTAGGGGAAAAATAAAGAGGATACCCATTTATTCAGGCACCACTATAACACTGGACAGGAGGGACAGTGTGGTAATGACAAGGCTGAGACTGGGTCACTGTGCACTAACTCATGGGCTGGCAATGGTTGGTAAGCACCCTGATGGAAAATGCACCTGTGGAGAGGTAGCACCAACTATCACACCTTGTGCAAACAGGAGTTACTTCTCAGCAGGGAGCACAGTGAAACAGCAAACACTGATATAACATTTCCTCATCGCACTGGGCTGTGTGCAAGAATCTAAGGCAGTGGTGTCCAAACTTTTTTTCTTACGGGCCAAAATTGTCGTGTTAGAATCTCTCGTGGGCCACAGGTTTTGTTTTTTAAAATATAGTTGAAAAAATAGTAAGGCTTTGTAGATCAGAATCAAAAGGCTCGTTGAAGAAACCCTTTAATAAAAGGAAATCAAATATTTTGATTTCTTCGTTCTACTTTATTTGTTTTCTTCTCAGAATCAAGCCTGTAACGTGGTTCATGTTTTTGGAAAAGCTTTCTTCATGTAGCTCAGATCATTAAATGGTTAAACAACAGTCCGCTTGTTTGCACAAGTTTTTGTTCATAATTTCCAAAAAAAATTGGAAAATAGTAAAATCTGTAGATTTAAAAAAAAAAAAAACAACAACATACACGTTACTGAACATTTTCTATTTTAGGAATATTGTTCAGCCCTTCTTAACATGAAAAAGAAAAAGAAGATAATGTGCCAATCTTAATCAAGGCCTCGGGCCAAAATCTTCTGATTCTTCATTTGAAGTCACGGGCCGCAAAAAAATCCCCTCAAGGGCCGCAAATGGCCCTCGGGCCGCACTTTGGACACCCCTGATCTAAGGCATCCAAATCGATTTTATTTATGACCTGTGGAGGGCAGCAAATCGCCTTGGCTGCGTCTAGTCTGCAGGAAATCTAAACGAAGAAGAAGAAGGAAGCAACAATGTTGTCCTCATGGAAACACATGTGTGGTTTAAGGTATTTATTTGTTTAAACATCTGATATTTATCCGTGTTTATGTATGAAGCAGCTCTAAGTGAGCCAAGCTGAGAAACTATTATCTTTAAAGAAAGTCAGTCTGCGCTTGAGTTCGCTTTGGTTCGCTTTGGTTCGACGTTACTTGTACAAATGAAGGGGAAATGGAAGCCGAACAGCAAGAAGAAGAAGAAGGGAAACGAGGTGTTGCAGAAGTACATGGTGGCAGTGGATGAGTTTGTTAAAAAGAGTGGCACTGAGGAGGTGGAGAGTGACCATGCTTTAAGGTTTGTGAAAAAGAAAAGCAGAAAGGAGCTGCGCAAAGAGAAGAGACTGATGAAAAAGGCCAACATGAAAAGTCATTATGAGGGAAAGAAGAGCGTCAGTTTAGCTCTTGATGATGATGATGATGGTGACAACTCTGGGACAGCAGCTGAGAAACAGCAGAAGAAGAAGAAGAAGAAGAAGAAGAAAAAGGACATGTCAGAAGCTCCTGCAGAAGATCAGTCTGACAACTCCAAAGCAAAGTCTTCCTCCAAGACCGGCAAGAAGGTGAATAAACTCCAAGAGTCCAGGAGAATGGCGCTGCTGGAGGCGAATGAAGACGAGGACAGGGAGATAAAGAAACTAGAGCGGTACTTGGGGATGAATAAGAGAAGGAACAAAAAAAGTCTGCCTCAGTCGTTTGTGGCCGACGGACTCGATTACATCCTGGGCGTGCTGGACTCCGGCTCATCAGCTGCTGCTGCTGCAGGTGTGTACGGCGACAACGCTGATGATGATGATGACAACATGGACCTGGCCAAGGAGAACTTTGAAAAGCTGGATGATGATGATGAGGAGGACGACGAGTCTCAGCCGTCGGAGGAAGAGGAATCTGGAGATGAGATGGCGAGTGAAGCTGGCGATGAAGACTTGGAGTCATTGGATGATGAAAATGAAGAGGAGGAGGAGGAGGATGATGAGCGAGCAGAGGAGGAAATGGAGGAGGAGGAGGAGGAGGAGGAGGAGGATGATGATGATCTGGAGGAGAGCGATGCAGCCGACTCCGACAATGACAACGAAGAGGAACCGGAGGAAGAAGAAGGAAGGAGCGACATCACCACAACGGACTCAAAGTCAGAGACGGTGAGTTCAGAAGTATGTGCCTCCTGTTGTGATGCCATTAATGTCTCATGCAATCTTTGTATCTAACTGTAAGCTTCATGTTTGAAGGTCCAGGTGAATGCCGCGGCGGGGAAATACGTGCCGCCTCACTTACGAGGCGCTGGCGATGATAAACGCAGGGCGGAGCTTGAAAAGCTGAAGAGGAACGTGAAAGGCTTGGTGAACAGGTAACTTATCTCTCAAACACATGAAGACAGAACACAAGAACATTTTGCAGAGGGTGATTTAAGACTGTCACGTCTGTTTTGGCTCCTTTTGAACGGGTATGAAGCATTTTTTTAAGGTCATATAATACAGACAACTACGGAGGCCCTGAAGTCCCAAAAAGCTAAAAAAATAAACTTTCGGGCACAAGACAAGTTTGTCTCTAACTTGTACATTTAGGAAAACATTTAATCTTTTGAGGACTTCAGGTAGAAAACAGTCGGTGGAGTGATGAAGACTGTAAATAGTGTCACTACCCAGTTTGTCCAGCAGAGGGTGCTCAAAATCCAATATGAACTTGCACGTTGTTGACTTGCAGTGAAAACAGGGCCTGACATCGGCGCTGACAGATTATATTATATTCATAATAACAGATAACGGCGCTAAATAATTAACCTATTAATTAACCGCTTTCTAACTTTCTCAGGCTGAGCGAGCCCAACATGGCGTCCATCAGCGGTCAGCTGGAGGAGCTTTACATGAGCTGCAGCAGGAAGGACATGAATGACACCCTGACAGAGGTGCTGCTCGCTGCCTGCGTGACGCCGTCCCTGATGCCTGACAGGCTGCTGATGGAGCACGTCCTGCTCGTCAGCATCCTCCATCACACCGTCGGGCTGGAGGTAAAGGAGTGTGTGTGTGTGTGTGTGTGTGTGTGTGTGTGTGTGTGTGTGTACGATTGTGTAAGTTTTACTTTCTGGAGGGGATTTCCTTTTGAAGAGTTTGAGTTTGGTTTTCTGATCCTCTGAGTTAACGAGTTGTTTTTTTCCAAAGGGATCAGACTCTTTCACAGCGTCACTGTAAGCTAATGAGGGGTAGAGATATCTTAACACCCCGGTTCTCCTTCACTCA